CAAGTGTAGTGATCAACAAAGTAAGCAAGCGAATATATAAAGACAATCTAAAATGCAATTTTAATACTTAAGTAAAGAGATTAAGGTTAGAGAAATTGCAAACTAGATGTATCCTGGTTCGGTCACCACCACCGTGACCTACATCCAGACTGAAGCCGCTCGATCAATTATTTTCACTAACTATCAAGCTTGAGGGTGCTTGACAAACCACTACAATCTTTCAAGACTTCAGGCTCTTGATGCCTTACAATTTTTCACTCCAAATTTTCTTAGGTATTTGGTGACCTCTCAAGTGTATAGGGTTAACTCCCCTAACTATTCAAGAAATCAAAGGAATGTGTTTAACAATGGCCAAGTACTCTCAAAGTACAAATAACACAAGTTGAAGAACAATGGTTGTTAACACTCTCACAAAAGTAAAGCTCAAAGAGAATTTATGATCACGAAGACAAGAATAATGCAAAAAGAATGAGAATAAATGAGTAATAATGATCAAGAAGTGTGTCCCATCAAGGGGAACAATATTCTCTATTTATAGAGGGGCCCCATGGCTGTTTTCACGCTCATTTTCGCAAACTAGTCGTTTTATAGCCGTTATTTTGTCTTCTGCTCAGTAGGTAATCGATTACCATTGGGAAGGTAATCGATTACCATGAAGGGTAATCGATTACCAACTTGTTGACAGGTTGGATTTCACCCTAAAATGGTTTTCTTTTGATTCAAATCAGTTTCAAATACTTCTTAAACATTTGATAAACATTGAAAACTATATTTTCATGCTAGGAATGTATTTAAATGTTTAAGCAATAATTTAATGCATGTATTTGAAAAAATACTTTGAGCTTAGTTCACGTAAGGAATCAATTACAAATAATCCTAAGTCCTATAATATGTTATTTTGAAATTGGACTAAGAGACTTCTCTTGAAGCTTGAGTCTTTATCTTGTTTAGACTTCTTTTTTATGGTTGCACCTTGAAGCTTTATTTCCATGCTTGTTTGTTATCATCAAAAATGTTGAACCTTTATATTCTTTACGTAGAGTGCATTGGTTCCACATGTTGTTCATCACCCAAGATATGTTGCTCCATCAAAAACTTCAAGCTTTTCTGATCAGTTTTGACTATGAAATACCTCCCCAATAAATAGTGCCTCCATTTTTGTATTGCGAAGACTATAGCCATTAATTCTTTTTCATACATAGATTTTTTTGGAGAAAAACCTTGGCTGATATAAGCCAAGGGCATGTTGTCTTCCATCAAAACCGCCTTCATGCCTTTCCCTAAGCCATCAGCGAGGACTGTAAAATTTTTAGAAAAATCAGGCAAAGCCAAAACAGACAGATTACTCATCTTCTGTTTCAACAATTGAAATGCTTCCTCTACAGCTTGTCCTTATTTGAATGCATCCTTTTTATGAATTTAATGAGTGGTTTGGCTATTTTCTCATAATCCTTCACAAACTTCAGATAATAATAGGCCAGTGAACCATGGCCTTTATTTTCATTGGGTCATCCTCCAGTCCATCTGCAGAGATAATGTGTCGCAAGTACTCCACATGCCTCTTTACTAAGCTGCATTTTTTCTGTTTGCTACAAATTTATTTCTCCATAATACCTCAAATATTGTCCTTAAATGCCCCCAGATGGTCCTCATCACATTGATTGTATATCAGTATGTCATCAAAAAATACTAATGCAAACTTTCGCAAAAAATGCCAAAGGATTTCATCTATAAGCACTTGGAAAGTGGAGGGTGCGTTTGTCAACCCAAAAGGCATTACTGAGTACTCATAATGCCCCTCGTATGTTATAAATGCATTCTTGGGGATGTCTTCTTCCCTCATTCTTATCTGGTGATAACCATATTTCATGTCCAACTTAGAGTATATTTTTGAGCCCCTTAATTCATCCAATATTTCCTCCATTACTAGTATGGGAAACTTTTTTGGGACTGTTAACTTGTTTAACTCAAACTTTCCAACTCCCATTTTTCTTAAGTATCATGGGGCTAGTATTAGGCCTAAGCATACCATTAGTAAGTAAATCAGAAATTTTGCCTTTAATCTCAGATATTTTATAATAAGGATACTTATAATGCCGCATATTTGGCACTTGACTCCCTAGCTTTAAGTTATTTACATGGTCATGGACTATCTTCGGTGGAAGACTATTAGGCTCTTGAAAAATGTCCAGGAATTTAGCCATTAATGCATCTAATTTCTCCCATTTTAGACCAACGTCCTCTCGGTCTTCAGCTTCAAAATTCAAGAGAAATCCATGTCCCTGATCCTATAAGGCCTTCACAATGGACTTGAGAGATGCTTCTGACCTTGTCAACGATGGTTCACCCCTAATGATGACCTCTTACCCCTCTCACCCAATTTCAAGGTCATTTCCTTGAAATTAGCGTGTATTTCTCCTAATTATGTCAACCACTCCAACCCAAGCACAACATTTGCTCCTCCTAACTCGAATATGTATAAATCTTGTTAAATGAGAGTGTTTTGTAGTCTCACCTCCATCCATTTGCACACCCCTTGGCAGTCTAGTTTGTGGCTATCACATACCTCAACTTGGTACACTGGAGTGTCACTCACCTCCAATCCTAATTCCTCCACCAAATCTTTTGGCACAAAATTGTTAGAGGGTCCGTAATAAATCATCACTATTACCTTCTGACCATGGATTTGTCCCAAAATCTTAAGAGTTTGGCTTGAAAAGAGCCCTAGAAGGCTTTGCACAAAGAGCTGCAGTGTTTCCTTCATCGTCTTTTCTGGTGAACCAGTGAACGTAACCTCTGTTTCTGCCTGTGAGTCATCATTTCCCTCTTTTTCATCTTCAACCAAAAACATGTGCAGCTATCGGACTTAAAACAAAGTCCCAACTGCTGTCTTTCTCGCAGCTCATCAAATTTAAAACAAAGTCCCAACAGTTGTCTTTCTCGCAGCTCCGTTTGAGTAAGGCAACGTCCATTGCTAGCATAGCTATCACAAACATGACTTCCTACTGTTGTGGCATCGCTTGAAACTACCTTCGTCTAAGTGTTCTTAGGGATTTCAAAATTTGAGGCCAATTGATTTGTGTAACCCGTATTTTGTGCCATTTGGTTTACGGGTCTAGTATTTTTTTTCCTGCAATAAACATGTTAGTATGACCGATAATGGTCTTGTTGTCACTAAGCCTAGAACGAACGATATGGGTTCCCTTACTGGGCCAATAAGCCATTCCCTTCCCCAATGACCCAAAACCTTCTTCTGTCAATTCCATATTGCATTTTTCGATCTTCAAGTTGTATTTAATCATCTCCATTAAGCTAATGGCTGGATTCATCATGAGTTCTTCTATGACGTTGCTTTTAACGCCATTAAGTCATACCCCTTTTAGTAGCTCTTCATCCTCAAAATGCAAGGCACCAACGACCTTCTTAAATTCTGCCGTGAACTTCCCAATGGTTCCTGTCTGTAACGCCCCAATTTATAACCGATTTGTTAACATGCATATAGTACAAAAGTGCATCATAAAATGAATTCTTAAGCGGAAGACTTAAACCAAAAGTATCACAATAATTCTCTTAACCATGTGGCTTAACTTTTTTCCTTTTATTTATCCTTACATATTGCCATGCATAATTTATTTTTCATATTGTCTTTTACTATACAGTCACATACATGTACAAAATTCTAACTCACAACCCTGTGACCATAGTCATTGACCAATGACTATTTGAGTTTGATAAAATATATCATCTCACATAGAATCTAATAGACAACATTTCTGCTGTAAAATGGACTATCCAGGGATAATTCCCATATACTCATTCACCTGAAATTCAGAAAAGCCAAGTACTAATGTATATCCAACCTAGTGAACCACAAGTGGCTCTGTGCCAACATGCACATATTATGTACATAATCATATACATATTAACAATACCAGTATATAATGACATAAGGCAACATATGCCTTAATACTATTGAACCATAGGTTTCCAAGCTTATATATTGAAGTTTTGATGATTACACAGCACCAACAAGCTCAACATGGATGCACAAATTAGAAGGCAGTGCAACAAGTCACAAATAAAGTTAGAAGATCAAGGCAACATGCAGAAGTGAAGAAGTAATTCAAATGTGCAAAGTCAACATCAAAGTCAAAGTTTCCAAGTGAAGAAAGACTCAAGAGTATATTATTTGTAATGTTAATTAGAGTCTAAGGAAAATTGAGAATTGAGTTTATTGAGCTATATCTCTCAAGGTTGCCTTTAGAAGATTTGATTTGAAAGAAGATTTAAAAGTTTTATTTTTAATCCAAATAGTTTTTTTGAAAGATTTGGTTTAGTTTGGTTTTTGATTTGAAAATGAAAAGGTTAATTTGATAATAATTTCCTTTTTTGAAAGATTTCGTTTGTTTTTTATTTGAAAAAGAAAAAATTAATTTGCTATTAATTTCCTTTTTTGAAAGATTTGTTTATTGATTTGAAAAATAAAAAAGTTAATTTGAGATTAGTTTTCTTTTTGAAAGATTTGATTTGATTTTATCTAATTTTGGAAAGTTAATTTGTGGATTTTGATTTTATTTTCAAAAAGATATTTTACAAAGTTTTCTTAAAAATCATGATACAATATCTAGTGCATAAATCTAGAGATTTTTCCTTAAGATTTGAGAAAAACCCTAAACCCTAAATATCATATCTAGAGTCCTTATTCACAACTCTTCAAGAATTAACGAGAGAAAAATATTGAAACACTTAAAACCCAAGAATCATACTCATCTAGGCTTATTTTTTGCATGCTTTGAGAGAGCTCAATATCTTTTTCTCTTCATCTTTTTCTTTTGTAATTCTGAATTTGGGGAGGTTGTTCTGCTTCTGTGATTGGTTCAATTGGAGTGGTCCTAGGGTTTAGGTTAAGAGTGGTTAAGGGGTTGATCATGATCTTGTAAAATTCCAATTGAGTCTTGGTTTTTGGTTCAAGGGGAGTAATCCTAGATTTTAGGTTAATCATGATCAGGTAGATCACAGGTCTTGTAAAATTCCTCTTGCAAAACGATTTCTTCAAGCACCGGTTGGAAGCTTGATGATAGTGGAACGATCGGCCTCATTCTGGATGTAGCTCTCAGTGGTGGAGAGTGAACCAGGATATATCTCGGTGTTATCTTTTCTTCCCTTACTCTTTTATTTTTCGCTGCATATTACTCTTCTTTGATTCATTGTTCTTGAAAATTTGAATATGTTTTAAGGGTTTGGAAATTTTTATTAATTGTTAAATCACTCTTGCATGCTTTCTTTAAAAAACGGTTTTTAATTTTTCTTTGTAATTTGTAAAAATTTTAAAACACCATTCACCCCCCTGCCCCTCTTGTGTTGTTATTTAGCCATTCTTTCTTTACAATTGGCCTCAAAGCTTAGGTTCTCTATTTTAGGTTTAACCACATAGAGATAAAGATCCATAAATAATGGCTAGCTTTAATAATGATTTGCCTCAAGAGAGTAGTTCAACCAATAGACCATCTTATTTTAAGGGAACTGATTATCCTTGTTGAAAATCAAGAATGCAAATCTTTTTAGAATCGATTGATCTTATAGTTTAGACTAGTGTTGAAGAGGGATATGAAATTCTTACTACTTTTGGTGATGATGGTACTAGAGTTCCTAAAAAGGCTAAAGATTTTAATGATCAAGAACTTAAAGAAGCCCAATGGAATGCTAAAGCAAAAAATCACGTAATTAATTAAGGAGATGTGGAAAGTTTTACTCTAGGTAGAGATGAGTATTTTAGGATTTCCTCTTGTAAAACTGCTACGGAGATGTGGAAAGTTTTAGAACTCACACATGAGGGTACTAATGAAGTCAAGAGGTCTAAACAAAATGCTCTTACTAGAGAATATGAAACCTTTTGAAATGCTTGATAATGTGAGTGTTTATGATTTGCAAAAACGTTTTACTCACATCATTACAAGGTTGAATGCTTTAGGTATCCATTACAATGATGAGCAACTTGTCAATTGTGTCCATCAAAGTTGTGAACCCTATTCACTCAGGAAGTCCATATTAGTTCATTTGGCCAAAGAACATATAATCACATTATATTGCCACAAATACCACAGTTGCATAGCAGTACTTCCACTTGTTTTGCAACCTAGCCCATATTGCTTGTCCACTTGTCTTTTGACTAATGATCCAACTTCCTCTGTATGAATGCAATTAAACCATGTCACTAACATACCACTCAATCATCCATTTATAAAGCATAACTTCCGTAGAAGTCTGGCAAAACAACATAACAGAGTAAAACTCTTAAACCAAGAATTTACCTGTTTATAAGAATTCCTTCCAACCTTGCTTGTAATCCAAGAAAGCTACTCCAATATACCTTATATACCAAGATCACCTATTCATGTATAAAATTGGTATCAAAATAACATAAAATCATTAAATGTTGACCTAATGGTCAAAACACCTATTAAACCCAAAGCTATACATATTCACCCTATTCTTGATTAAACAAGAACTAGGGCTTCCAACACTTGATTAATCACACACTTGATCTTCCAATATTATACCCATTATTTCAAGCCTAAAATACCAACAAAATAACCAATTCGTGTTTATCTCAAGTGTTCAATGTAACACCCCAAATGTAAATACATATAGGGTGCACCTTCATCATGCATTCAACGCGCGGAAGTCTAAATTTAAACTTTACGAATGCAAATATCAGAGTGCGGAATGGAAACACATAACCATACTTATTCCATATAAAATTAAAAGCGTTAAAACGTCAATACAAAATAAATAACACTAAACATTATTTAATTTAATCCCAAAAAGATTAACTAATCATAAATAAAAACATAATTTATGCCGCATCATAAGCCCAGTCATAATGTGGTTGTGGTTCCTCTAGCCATTGTGTACTTAGTGCTTCATCGAAATCATAATGTGGAAAAGCTTCTATTAATAATTTCATAGCCTCAGTCCATAAGCCTCTATATGTTAGATCCTTTAGTTTCTCTTCCCAGGTAGGTGGAGTTTCTTCTTCTTTACGTACCAGTCTCTTACCCTTTCTTTCCCACATAACTTTCTTATTACTTTCTTTCATCTTTTCCTGAAATGGGTGGTCAAGGGGGGTGAGATTTTGGGGAAAATCTCAGTAAGGTTCACAGCTGGAGCATTCTCCAACTATGACGCTTACTCCTGCAACAGTTTATAATAACAATACAAAATGGAACATTTAACATCATCATATAAAAATATCATGCCATCATCATCATCATCATATTCCTGCCGGCTTTTACGGACTTACGGAGATACCCAGAGTCCTCGTCAGGTTGCAACTGGAGTATCAGTGCACAGGCCAACATTTAATAGCATGGTTTTAAGTTTCAAAAATATCATAATCACATAATGTAAAGCATTATAAACATATTGCAGTCAGACCATAACTTATCATAGTTTCATAATGGTGGCATACATAGAGAGATTACTTCAACAACTGTAAACACTTACAGTACTTGTCGTTCTTTACTTGTATACTTTCAACTTTTGATCTCTTTACTTGCCTGTTTGCTCCCTTGACTCCCTAATATCATCATATCATCTTTTAGTAACTTATATAACATTCAACATTTGTGTTTTATCCATGTATAGGTCTCGGCTTTGCAGGTTTAATTACCTAGAGGAGTTGTTTTGCTTACTTACCCACTTGTGTAGGTTTTAGGACATTATTAGGTCATCATAACACTTAATAGAATTATTAAAGATTTCATTCTAGGCATGTATAGGTTCGACCACCATAGATAAACATCTAGGAATATAATTTTTAAAACATGCTTTCAATTATATTATTAACTTAACATGGTTAGATCCTTTCAACATTAATCAAATAAAACCTCTTTTAGCTACATACCATTCGGCCTTATTGCCCTAAAATACCTAAGGGATTACTTCTAAAACATGCTTCTAACATTATTGATAATTTATCATATTTAAATCCTAGAGCATCATTCAAAACATCATCTTATATATTCGGCCAACTAAGGTTATGATCATGCAAAATTGATTTAGAACCTAGGCTACTAAACATGCTAATCTAACATCATCATTTCATCATCTTTCATATCATTTAAACATCTCTCCATGCTTATAATTATCATACATGGTTCGGCCTTCTAGGGATCATATACTTAGGATATCACTTTCATGCTTTTACATGTCATTCCTAACCAAGAAGGTTCATAGGCTTACCTTTGATGATGATCAACGACTTAAGGAAACACTTCTTGACCTTTGACTACTTTGAATCTTCTTGAATGAACTTCCTTCCTCCTTGAACATACAAGGCCGCAAGCTTAAAGAGAGGAGAAGAGGGATTTTCTTGCTTAGAGATGAAGGGTTCTTTGGTGGAATTATTAGGAAGAAGGACTAAGATCCAGGCTTGTATTTGATCTTGGAACAATTAGGTATTTCTCACTAACACACTCACCATTTCGAAGCATTCATGGACTTCACAAAATGAACTAAACTCTTTGCTCTTTCCTTTGGTAGTGCCGCGGCTATAGAGGGAAAAAGGAGAGACTAAAGCTTGTTCAAATAGGAAACCTAGAAGCCTTGCCATTACTTGATTGCTGGTAGGTTTCGATCACATTAAATGAGAGTAAGGTGGTGATTTGTTGTCATAGGTTAGATTGCTTAATTAGGGACAAGAACATGATGTCAATTTCCTTGATTAAGGAAATTTAGTGATTGCTTGATTTAAGGAATTGATGATGTGTGACTAATCGTCATTAAAAGTTGCTCCCTTGATTTAAGGGATTGATGAGGTGTGACTAATCGTCATAAAGGTTGCTTCCTTGATTTAAGAAACAGAATTATTTGATTGATTGACATATTGTCATCAATTTGCTTGATTTAGGGAAAGTGATTGACTACTAATCATCATAATCCTAACTTCCTTGTTTAAAGGAATTTGACTGGCTTGACTTAAGGAAATTCGATTTGCATTTAATGGCTTGAAAATCAAATAAAATCAAATTCATTTCCTACACCTAGGCCGCGGATTTTAAATGCTTGGAAGGAAAATATTTCCTTTAATTTTGGACCATGATTTATTCCTTAAGATTATGGACCTTTAACCTATTAACCTGACCTAATTTGTGCCTATTTTTCCATGATTTTATGACACTTTAAATTGACTTCTTAGAGCTTGTTTTCTCTAGTAAAACCGTGGGCTTCTTGCTTGTAGGGAAAGAATTCTAATTTAATTCCTAGTAATATAGTACTTCTTTAGGTTTATTATGTCATGGCCTTACTTTGGGCTTTAACTTGATTTGGGTTTCATTTACCTTATTGGACTTTACTTTATCATATAGAGCTTTCTTTGTATCACTTGGACTTGTCCACATTAAATGGAATTAAAACTTCCTTTGTTGGGTTATACTTTGATCCATGAATTCATTGGATCCCTAATGCTTATGTCTTTGGTCCATTGGACCCATACTTCTAATTTACTTAATCATAAACTATTTCATCTGAAATGTCTCGTTTATTAATTATCATAATTCTTCATTAATCATGATACAATATTTAGGGTTGTTATATTCAAGTGCCATGATTTAACACTTTAATAAACCTTCATGTCTTCAAACATCACCTTGAAGTTGGGTTTCTTTATACTTCTTTCATTACACCACATATATTATCACATTTGATAAACTAATTCATGCCCAAACAAGTCATGACCAATTCTTTCTACTTATACTTAAACTTAGATATTATGTACTAAACATGGTCAATGGATCAAACTTGGTTTCCATATCTTTATATTACTTGATTATACCTAATTCTTGATTTCTTACAACCACTTGAATTTAGAACACTTCCTAAGACCTTTTTGCATAAATGGCCGAATGTAACATAAACACAATCATCAAGCATCCTCATTTTAAATGACTATTTAATTAGCCTAATCAACACTATTACAATTAAGGACCAATATTCATCATTCCATTTAATTTAACAACTCTCTTAAGTACCCTTTCAAGTTATGATTGAATTAGGCATAACTAGGTTCCACGGATTTTTACACACTTTCATTAATTCCCAACTTGGTTCACTTAACACTATATAATCCAATATACCTTAATTTACCTTTATATTAAACCAAACAACTCATATTTTCATTATTCCTCATTATGGCATAATTACATAGAATGAATTTCATGAATTTTCCATATTTTATATCATCAATATAATGTCTCATTCACAACATATATACTCAAGTCATCTTCCCTATTTTTCTCTATATTGTCAATTAGCCTCTTTGATTTTCCACCAAACCATATTCTTTTTCTTTGCTTAATTTGTGCACAATTCATCTACCAATCAATATATAAACAAAATCCCACACTTATATCCAACATCCAATCATGATAATTCATCATCAAAATATCAAGAAAACCTAAAATTAATCTTTTATTTTTAACCATTGAAGTGGGAATTTCTTACCTTAAAAACTCTCTAAATCAACAAGAGATTCTTCTACAAGCTTCAACCATAGAATAAACATCTTCTAGCCTCCATGAACAGCGAAGGGTCGAAGATGAGAAGAAGAGATTTCTTCCAATAGAGAGTTTTTCCAAGACAACTAACACCAAGGGTTTTGTTCTTCAAGTTGCTAGGATTAATTTTTGTGAAAGGTTCTTAACCTAAAAATGCCTTTTGATGGATGAACTAAGCTTCCAAAGTCCATCAATGGTGTCTATATAACACATCAAATAATTGAAAAATGACATTAAGAATTAAAATCATGATTTAGAGGGTTTAATTAGTGAAAATCCTGAATTTCGAGTTAAAATACCCATTAGGGGTAAAATGATAATTTGACAAAAATGTCCAATTTTTAACTCTAACCGGAGAAATACCCACTAAGTTTTCATGTATATATATGGCTAGTATTTGACTGTTGCGCGTATAGCAGCTGCAGAAATATAAACCCTATATATATAAAGAAATATCACATAAGTCACTACTTAAAATTCAATGAACTATTTCATATTTAAAAGAGACAAGTCAAATAATTATATAAGTTATGTTCAAAAACTTAAAAAAAAGAGTTTAACAACTCCTACAACCAAGTTTCAAAACATCAAAAGAATAAAGTTTAATAACTTCTAAATTATATCAATTGATTCAAATCAAGCACATCATTTTGCATCAGTTGCATGTCCTCAATGTCCGCTTCTCTTGATTCAAAATCTATATCAACGTGGTACTCACCTTTTCACTAGTGGCTTCATCTTCTTCTTTCTTTGCAACAGCGACCTCACGCGAGGTTATTTTTTAAAATAACTAGAAGAAGATACTATGCATTTTGATTTCAGGGAAATGGAAAGGGTTTTTTATTATAAAAAAAGGGGGTTAAAAGTTGACCCAATTCAATTTTTTTTTGGGAAAAAGACCTGGTTCGATTTTTTCATTAAAGTAAAAACGTAGAAACTTGCGTTTTTACACGGAGTTTTTACCGTTTTTTACTGAGGAGAGTTTTTACTTGCATTTTAACACATATCACTTCAGTTTTTACTCTTTGCACGATTCTTTTGTTTAGATTGTCTGTCTGTTTGGAAAAAGAAAAACAAAATATTTCAAGGTTAAGTAGCAATTTTAAGTTAGCAATAGAACTTTTGAAATGTAAAAAAAGGGAAAAGCTACAGCTTGATCTTTAGGATTGCTAAGGTTTTGATCCTAGTGCGTTTTCAAAGTAAGGAATGAAAAGTCAAACACTTAATTCCTTAAGAGAGTGTTCCGGAGAATTTTTATCACTCGTTCCTAAACTTGCGTTAACATTGTTAGTACTGCAACATCACTTGGAAGCTTCGAGAGGACAAGGGCCATCGTTCAACTAAGCTTGAGCCAAATAGCCAACCTTTACATCATTCTATAGTCACCCATATCCAAGCCAAAACGACCATTTTATTCAAAACCACACTCCATCATCATGAATTCCATCCACCGGAGCAAGGAACGACAAATATCGAACAAACCAGGAACATCAGCAAAGAAAGTCCAAGGACTTTTGAGGAACGCCCAAATCAAGAAAGAAAGAATAAACTGCTGCCAAATATAGAAAAAGAAACATGTTTCCCCAAAAAGGAAAATAAGAAAGCAGTCAAAAACAAAGGCGTTCTTAAGAAAATTTAAAAAAGATGTTCTTGTGAAAAAGAAGAAAAGATCAATCGTTCATTGCTCTAAAATACCTAATTCTCAAATATGACCACCCAAACTCAAGCCCCGTTACAAGCCTTAAAAGTCCCTTCGATTGGAGAAAACAAGTGATTCACAAGAAAGCAGAGACAATTCGTAAAGGTAGAGAAAATGGATTCTCTTATGCAGTGGCGGAGTCACGTTATGCGTGGGAGGGGCCTTGGCCCCAACTAAATTTCAAAAATTAGTCACATTTTAAACGTGGTTAATTAACCGTGGCTAAATAATCTTTAACATTTTAGTGTTTAGCACCAGCTAAATTTTCCTTAGCCCTTGCTGGATTAAGAAGCTGGCTCCGCCACTGCTCTTATGTATTATTTAGTATGACCATATCATGTGAGAGAACTTTAACCATCAATTAACAAATCAATGGTGATGATTTTATAACTTTCTTTCTTAATATTTTTTCTCTCTCTTCCTTTATCACTATTAATTCATGTTTATAGTGTAAGGATCTTCCAAAATAACATGATCATTAAATAACATATTACTCAACTCTCCATTAAAAAAAACTCAAAACTCCAAGTCCTGTAGTTGTATTATACACTAAGCTACCCACAATCATTTAATTTCTCAGCTCGAACTAACACCGAGTAGAAAATATGATTTTGTGATTAGCACATTAGATGGGTTTAATTGGCAGAGAGATAGAATAGTCTTGTGCCAGTTGCTTGAGTTAATACCAGAATCCACGTGGGGAGTCTCCACTATTAAATTAAGCAAAAATTGGCATTCAACCTCTTTGATAGAAATTCTGCCAACGATTATGACACAATAGTCCGGATTCTATTGGTTGTGGCATTAGATCATAACTGGAGAAAAATAGTTTACCGGTAAATAACAAATATTAGAATTGGAAAATTCTCTTGGAGGATTAAGACATATAATTGGGTCAAGTTGATGATGACAGACCAACAAGCTGATAATATAAAAACATGATTTTCAGATGGCATTTATACTTTATGCTAAGCTAACTTATAAAGTTTATATTGTGACCAAGAAAAAAGAAAAGTCTCGTGTATAAATTATATTTAAAATTGAGACAGAGTTAAGAGGCTTTGGTTTATACTAAAAAAAAAAAAAAAAAAGTTTGGGCCCCGCAATCTGTGGACCCAGCTGGCACCCCACAAATCAATGGTAAATCAGAATCAATCTTGTAGAGAAATCATGTGAAAATCGTGGTTGTGAAAGCAAGTGTTGCCACTCAGAGGAACCTAAGGAGAAGCTGCTCTGAAAAGAAGGACAAACACTGTAAACACGTAAGAAACAGAAGAGATAGGTATAAATAGACTAAAGCCACCAGAAAAAACAGCTGGTTAGTTAGTAATATTTAGGTGTAAAATTACAATTATATCAAATGGCATGTTATTCAATTTCAACACGGGAAAGAAATTAGCTGAACTGTATCCTTCTAAAGTCCATGCTGGTTTATATTCCCTTCTTACTTTTTTTCCTTTTTTCTCCTTTGGCTTCTTTTTCTTTTCTTTTAATTTCTTTCTTCTTTTTTCTTTATCTTTAAATAAATCCAATTCTTTTATGGAGAATAATAAAAGACAAACAGCTCTATTTTAATGCCCCTCCACTCATCAAACCCCTTACCTTGGGAAAACGTACAATCATGGAAAGTGATGCTAGGGAAAACTTCTTTAGCACATCTACCACCAATACTAAAACAACCACCACATTCACATCCTCCTCCCCTTCCTCTTCAACATCATCAACAACAACAACAGCACCAACATCTTCTACCTCAAACTCAAATTCATGCATCAAACAAGCCTCCATAAAAAGCCCTCCAAGTGACTCAACAAGAAGAGCTCAAAACTCACAAAATGACAAAAAAAGGCAGAGAAGTGAGAATGAGGGAAAACACTCCACTTACAGAGGTGTAAGAATGAGAGCTTGGGGTAAATGGGTGTCTGAGATTCGTGAGCCAAGAAAGAAGTCAAGAATATGGCTTGGAACATACCCTACAGCAGATATGGCAGCTAGAGCACATGATGTAGCAGCTTTAGCTATCAAAGGCCATTCAGCTTACCTCAATTTTCCTAATTTGGCTCAACATCTTCCAAGGCCTCTCACCGCATCTCCCAAGGACATTCAGATTGCAGCTGCAAAAGCAGCAACCAATTTCTTTGAGGAGACTAAGCATTGTCAAGTTGAAGCTGAACATACCAAAGCAGAACAAGGTTCATGTTCAAATCTATCATTGGAGAGTACTCAAGAGTCATCAAGTTCTCCCTCTAGTAATGATGATGACACACTGTTTGACCTACCAGATCTTTTCCCAGATGGAAAAAATGGACTTTTCTCCTATTCTTCTTCTTCTTCTTCTTGGCATTTATGTGCAGTTGATACTGGGTTCAGGCTTGAGGAGCAACTTTTGTGGGAGAAATAGTGCTTGTAGAGAGTGTTTCATTTAAAAAAATAAAATAAAAGTGTAAAAAGACAATAAAATTTTGAGTTTATCTTCCTGTTTAGTCATTGCATTCTGATATCAGATTACCACTTGAGGAAAAATTTTACATTTGAATCTGTAAATGATGGGTGTTGTCTATTGCTATTTTTGTTCAGCTTAGTTCTGCAGTGATTAGATTAAAAATAAATGGAAAAAAAAAATGATGACAAATGTGAGGCACTGTACAATGGTATATTTTTTGGAAACATACATCAGATTGGAAATTTCATTTTTCTAAGTCTCGCTATCAATGGTATTTACTTTTTTGTTTTTTGTAATTTCTTCTCCGATTCATCGATTACGGATTAATTTGGTTCAAGTTGGACAGACTATAAGGACGGCAAAATTTTATTTACCAAAGTTGCGTTAACTTACTTGAGACGTCTGATTAAACCGAAATTATTTCGTGATAGTTAATCCAAAGTTCGTGATACTATAAATGGTACTGACTAGATTATAGAGAATTGGTGCCTATCCTTTTTTACACACTGAATGGCATATTTGCTTATTTGAGGAAAAGATCTTGTTTTAAAAGAGCATTATGCTTTCTTTATTTTGTTCTCAACATTTAGATGAAGGTTTGATGCAGTTGACTCTAAAGCAAGGCAACCTGAACACATTCTTGCTTTTCTTTATCTTTTTGTTGGAAAGATACCCCATGAGGCAAAATGCATCATGTAGTAATAATTACTTTACCAATTGGCTTATAAAATATACTATCAGATAACAAGTTGTGCTCATATAAATAACCAGAAGGACCCAGATGAAATAATTATATTTCCCCCACCATCACTTTTTGCTTCATGATTAAGCATAAGAAATTTTGTCTGATTCGTGGTTTCTTTATACCCCACATGATGGTACCCAAAGAAGTTGATAACATGCATCTTCTAACAAAAGAAAATATATATATATAGGGAAATAGTTAAATTTGCATCGCAACGGGCCTTGTTTTCCAATTAGAATTTTCAAAAGCCACCTGTAAAGAATCTTCGGATACACCACCTCAAAAGCTAGCTCAAAGAGTGGGACTGTCCAAGGCCTTATAAAAGCTACATTAATTGTCCACACAATCAACGTGGGACTATATATCTCAACACGTCTCCTCACACGAGAACCCTTTGGGCTAGAAGTGTGGATATTGCACAGGCTCAATTTTTGGTTTACCTTTTTGTGCTTTAATTTTAATTTTACTTTAAAGTGGGAGGCAGTGAGGATCTAACTTGTGACCAATCTGATACCATATAAAGAACCTTAGAATATACTACCCAAAAGCTAGTTCAAAAGGTGATAGTGCCCAAGGCCTTATAAAGGCCACATTAATTGCCTACACAATCAATGTAGAACTATATATCTCAACAAAATGTGCTAAATGACTCACCTTCGGCAGAAAAAAGAGAAAAAGGGAAAGCGAAATTAAAACAATCACATACTTTTCACCAAAAAAAAAAAAAAAAACACAATCACATACTATATCTCCTTTGACACTAATAGATAATTGTACACGATTTATTTTGCAATTGGCCAATTATCTTTTCTACGTCACCATCGGCTTAGTATACAAAGTACAATGATTATTGCCACTTCTTCCACGTGTAAGTTTTTGCAAATACTTTTACCAAAAAAGAAGAAGAAGTTTTTGCAAATACAAACAAGTTAGCTAATTAACCTAACCCGCAGATACATCACCACTTTTCTTGTAATTAAAATAACAATTTATATTAAAATAGATCTATTGGAGATTTTTTGATAGTATTCTTTACTTAGTAAGCTAAAGTTAATCTCTCAATATAAGATACGGACAAATATCAAGGATGAAAATTGTAACACCTTGTTCTAGAATTGATTTATTGACATTGCATATGATATTAAGTCCAGTTACAATCATATTTATTGAATTAAATTACGGATAAATTTGTCTTTTTACTTTATTGCATAAACATTGATTCCTTACTTGCATAATTCAAACTTAATTGCAACTCATACATAGTGCAAAAACATCTTACATTAGCTTAACATCATTAACCATGTAGACCCCATAAGCCATAATGGTGTAAAAGCTTATATTTTCATTTCTGGACAGCCCGCTTTAGCGCGTTGCTGCATGCAGAACTTCCTCTATTCTGTGCGCTCTCTTTAGGTGTTTTTCTTCACGTTAGCACACTGCACCCGAATGTCCTAATTCCTAAGCGCGCTTCCTCGCACTTTAGCGCTCTCTTTGAGCCTCTTTTCTAAAATAGGAGAGCGTTAAAGAACACAAATGTGATCATTTCGGGTTAATTGAAATTTTTGGATATCTCAACCTCACTTTGAGTACCTAATTCACCTCATTTGCAACTCAGTTACATTTATAATAGACACACTCCATTTCTTTGGGCTTCTTCATGCCCTATCAATTTCTTAGGCTACAACTCATTGAATTGCATCATACATACATGTGACTTGTGTGCCAAGCTATGGCTCGTTGCCTTACATACATGTTCTCATCTCTTAAATCTCAACCCTTTTGATTATGCCTCATGGCATACAACACTCATGGTTGCCAAAATGACATGCTCTCTTTTTCATTAATATCTAATTAACATGAACTTTATCATATTTTGCAACATATGCAATTTGCCTCAATGGCTCATCAAACAATATAATCGCATAAGCCCTCCTTCATATATTCCTTTCTCAGCTTAATACATCTCATATATAATCTCATCATACAATATCTTTAAATACATTCTTGGAACATCAATTTTTCATAACTTCATTACACATTTACATGTTCTCAAATTACATTTATATCATCAAAATGGAATTTATATAAGTCCTATATGTAACAACCCTCATCATCAAGTTAGGTTAAGCAAAGGAATTAAGTAAGGATTTAAGAAATTAAGTATGTTGTAACACCTCGTCTGCAGCCGGTTAATTAACATGCATATGGTACAAAAACGCATCATAAAACTATGATTTAAGCGGAATACTTATCTAATTATTGCATTTACGTTATTCTTAATGTAAAAAGACGGATAAACATTTTCCTTTATCATGAACTTTTATCTTACGTTATTCTTAACGTCTTAAAAACTATTTTCCTTATGTATATGTATGTATTGCCAAGTGAAATTCCTAAATCCAATTTGCTTGGATATACCACTATTGTATATATAGTGGTACATAGGATGTATCATATCTCTGGCCAGTAGACAGTTTGTCTTCAGGCGTTACGGACTTCCACTGGATAGGTCTCTATGAGGGAGTTCCATTTGACCTGGGGTCATGGTGTGTCATCCGTAGAGGAGCATACTAGGAAGTCTCGGGTGTATATGAATGGAGGGCGCCTTCGCTGATGTTCTGGGAACACTTCCTTGGATTGGAACCCGTAGGCTATATCCCGAGGCCAATAAGCCGGATGTTGCATGATATTGACATCGACCATTCCAGCTTCATCATATTATATTCCCTATGCTTCCCTACTGCACTAAATCCCTTGTTTTATCCCGTTTTGTAATGTTGTATTATATTATTGATGTGCATCGAAGTGAGCCATTGGGCGGAGTAATCTCCAGAACCTCTGGGTTACTAAGATATATTCATATATCTCACCCCGTTTTAGAGACTTTATTTCAGGTAATGACAGTGGTGTTGCAGTGGCGGGAAAGAAGCCCGTAGGATGAGCTTATGGACGTAGTGTGTATTTTGCATTCTCTGGCAGATTTGCTTGTCCAACTTCAAACGATGATAACCGGAGCAAACGAGAACTTTATGACTTGTGTGATATCTTGTTAGAAAGATAATTGAGACTAGAATAATATACTAAAATATGAGAGGTTTGCGGCATGCGGATTTTCTGCAGTAACCAGAATACCAAATCATGTTCGGATAGGTAAAAACCGTAAAAGTGAGATTTAAGCTAAGTGGGTTTATGGGAACCCCTTAGTGACTTGAGAGGAGTGTTATATGATATCTAAGAATTTTATATAATTATTCCGCAATAAGTTTTCAGTTACGGTCACAGCTTTATTTATTACGCTTTATTATTGCTTTACATGCTCGCGTAATAAAAAGAAAAAAGTTTACTCACATTTTTATAAATGAATTGTTGTGATTATAACTGCGCTTAATATCATAATCAATGTTAACAATGCTGGTGTACAACGGGCTGTTACATTTTATGGTATCAGAGCAGTTTACTGGGGAACTCTGATTATGTATGACTGTATTTTATGTTGCATAGCTATCTGTGAACTCTTTATGATTAATGTATATGTGATTCCTCAATGTGGGTCTGATCAGCTCATTCCTTTGTGTTGCATGTCAGTTATCATGAAGAGGGCTCGTGGTCGCCGTGGAACACGAGGTGTAGATCCTTAAGCGCCTGATCCGGTGACTGCAGTTCTGAATGCTCTGCAGGCGAAGACGGCTGCTAATAGAACCATGACAGAAACCTGATGAAGAATAATCAGGATATGCTGCAGGCCTTCATGACTGAGATGAGGGCTGAGAGAGCTCAGCATAGGAGGGATGATTTTACTCCGCATACGGCTACGGTGACTCCTACACCTACGCCATCTGTTACACCCCAGCAAGAGGGGAGTGGGGCTAGTCACCATTTTGGTGAGGCTAGTCATCCCACTGTGGATCCTACATATATTGCTCAGCCTTCTATTGATCCTACTCATGTTGCTCAGTCCTCTGGGGTTGTTGAGTAGTTGGATGCTGGTGCTGCTGATGAGCGGAGGCTCATATCCTTCAGAAAACACAAACTGCCAGCATTTCAAGGGTCAAAGGACCCGAAGGTAGTTACTACATGGCTGTTGGGGATGGACAAGATATTTCAGGTAATGAGGTACCAGGATCCCCAGAAATTGATGTACTCTGTATATATGCTAGAGGGTGATGCCCACGAATGGTGGTGCAATGCATCTCGCCCGTTTGTTATTCAGGGGGAGGAGCTGACGTGGGATTTATTTGAAGGTTTATTTCATGAAGAATATTTTCCCAGCGATGTCCGGGAAGCTAAACAGGGAGAATTTGACAAGCTAGTGCAGGGTTCCATGACAATTGATGCTTACTTGGCCAAATTCAATGAATTGGTCAAGTTTGCCAATTATGGGGGTATTATGCCTACTCCTGAATTTTTATCTGCTAAATTCCAAAGAGAACTAAGTGAAAAGATTGCAAAGATAATGTCGAATACTGTTGTGAGAAATTTTGCTGATCTGGTGACCCAGTGTAAGAGGGTCAAGACTGTTTATGGCAGATATCCAAAATCCAATACTGCAAAAGATCAAGAAGTTAAGAGGACATCTGGTCCTTCTGGTTTTAATTATAGAGGTGGCTACCATCACAATAATAACAGAGGTAGGGGGTTGCAGGTAAGGCAGCCTCCTGGTCAATTTAAAAGAGGTGGTGGTTAGAGGGGTGGTTATAATGACAGGAATCCCGCTCCTCAATGTGATAAGTGTAAGAGGTATCATCAGGGTCCTTGTACTGCGGCTCCTAATTCATGCTTTAAATGTGGTAAGGTTGGGCATTTTGCCAGGGAATGTTATAGCAATATTGGGCAGGCTGTGAATCTGCAGGCCTTGCCACCTGTTCCTACTGTGGGACGTGTGTACACTACCAATGTGCAGCAGACAGAGAAGGCACTGAATCTTGTGAAAGGTATAATTTTCATCTCTAATAATGATTTATTTGTGTTGTTTGATTCGGGAGCGACGCATTCGTTCGTGGCGGAATATGTTGCTTAGGGGTTGAACTTAAGGGTAACACGAATGATTCCCCCTATGCGTATTACTACTGCTACAGGAGAGGTTAGTGATTCCTCCTTTATTTGTAAAGAAGTCGGGTTTGTCTATGAAGGCAGGGATTAGACTATTGATTTGATTATCTTGCCCCTGGCCTCTGTTAATTTGATTTTGGGTAGGAACCAGTTGTCTCAAAACTGCGTAATGATTGATTGCTGCGAAAAGAGGTTGATACTATCTCACGAGAGGCCCTCTGTTTGTCCGTCTCCTTATTTGTCTGTCTGTCAAACTATTAAAGCCTTGAAGGCTGGTGATCTGGGTTATGTCTTCTTGGGTGGATTGGTGGGTGACATGGAGTTAGAAATTTCAAGTATTCCGGTGGTTAATGAATTTGCGAATGTATTTCCTGACGAGATACCGTAATTTTCACCTGAGAGAGAGATTGAGTTCTTTATTGATTTGTTGCCTGGTGTAGGGTCTATCTCTTTGGCTCCATACCGGATGTCGCCACTGGAGCTGGCTGAGTTGAGGAAGCATATTGTAGAGCTATCTACGAAGAACTTTATCAGACAGAGTGTGTCTCCATGGGGAGCACCGATAATATTCGTAAAAAAGAAGGATGGTAGCATGAGATTCTGTACTGACTACTGGCAGCTGAATAAAGTTCCGACTAAGAACAGGTACCCGTTGCCACGTATTGATGATTTGCTGGATCAATTGAGGGGTGCCTGTGTATTCTCTAAGATTGATCTCTGGTTCGGATACCACCAGATCCGGATTAAGCCGGAGGATGTGCCTAAGATGGCTTTTCGATCCAGATACGGACACTTTGAGTATCAAGTGATTCCTTTTGGGCTTATCAATGCCCCTGCGGTGTTCGTGGATTATATGAATCGCATTTTTAAACTATATTTGGACCAGTTCGTGATAGTATTCATTGATGATATCCTAATTTATTCCAAAAGTAAAGAGGATCATACGGAGCATCTGAGGACTGTGTTGCAGGTGTTGAAGGATAAAAATTTGTATGCCAAGCCATCGAAGTGTGAATTCTGGCTATCAAAGGTGCAATTTCTGGGTCATGTTATTTCTACTAATGGTGTTGCGGTGGATCCAAGTAAGATTGAAGCGGTAAGTGATTGGGAACGACCTAAGACTGTGACTGAGATCAGGAGCTTTCTGGGTCTTGCTGGTTATTATCGCAGGTTTATGGAAGGGTTTTTCGCTATGGTATTGTCGTTGACCCGATTGACACGAAAGGATACTCCTTTTGTGTGGACCCAGGAATGTGAAGACTATTTTCTAACTCTTAAAGAGAAATTGACTACTGCTCCTGTGTTGACTCTTCCCGATCCGAAAAGTGAGTTTGAATTATAATGTGATACTTCCGAGAAAAGTTTGGGGAGTGCATTGATGCAAGAAAGGAGAGTGGTTGCTTATGCTTCTAGGCAGTTGAAGCCTCATGAAGAGAACTATCTGACGCACGACTTGGAGCTTGTTGCTATTGTGTTTGCCTTCAAAATCTGGAGGCATTTTCTAAACGGGATGAAGTTTGATGTGTTCAGTGCTCACAAAAGTTTGAAATATTTGTTTGATCAGAAAGAACTGAACATGAGACAACGGAGATGGGTTGAATTCCTAAAGGACTATGATTTTGAACTGAAATACCATTCGGGTAAAGCTAATGTGGTGGCAGATGCCTTGAGTAGGAAGTTTGTCAGTTTGTCTCATATGATGATGTGGGATAATGAACTGTTCGTCCCAGGTAGGATTTGTATTACTGAGTTGACAAGAATTGAGAATGAACTGCTTGGGAAGATTAAAGAGACTCAAATACGAAATGATAGTGTGAAATACTTAAAAGGCCAGAGCGGTGTATCTGTGAATGAACAGGGAGTGTTATTATATCAGGGAAGGATTGTGGTGCCCAAGGAGTTAGCAGAGGAGGTCATGGTTGAGGCCCATAAGGGTCAGTATGCTATTCACCTAGGTACTACAAAAATGTATCAAGATCTGAAAGTTAATTTCTGGTGGCCTGGGATGAAAAAGGATGTGACAGATTATGTATCAAGGTGCTTAATTTGTCAGAAAGTGAAAATAAAACATTAGAAACCTGCTGGTTTACTTCAGCTACAGGATATACCAGAGTGGAAATGGAAGAACATCTCTATGGATTTTGTTGTAGGTTTGCCTCGGACTCATGCTAATTATGATTCAATTTGGGTTATAGTGGACAGACTTACGAAGTCTGCACATTTTCTGCCAGTGCGGGTGGATTTCTCTACGGAGAAATTAGCAAAATTATATATGAATGAGATTGTAAGCCTCCACGGGATTTCAGTTAGTATTGTAAGTGATTGGGACCCAAAGTTTACTTCACACTTTTGGGGAGCCTTGCAGCAGGCTTTTGGCACTCAGCTTAGACTGAGCATTACGTATCACCCGCAGACTGATGGTCAGACTGAGAGGACCATGCAGATACTTGAGGATATGCTGAGAGCTTGCACACTGGAGCAGGGTACTGCTTGGGACAGGTACTTGTCATTGGTGGAATTCTCGTATAATAACAGTTTTCATTCCATTCTGGGCATGTCACCGTATGAGGCATTGTATGCACGGAGATGTCGTACTCCTACTTGTTGGACTGAAGTGGGTGGCAAAGAGAGATTTGGTGTGGATTTTGTGCAGGAGACTTCAGTGCAGATTGAAATGATCAGAGAAAAACTTAAACAGGCACAGAATTGGCAGAAAAGTTACTATGATAATAGACACAGACCGCTGGAATTTGAAGAAGGTGACTATGTATTTATGCGATTATCTCCTATCACGGGTGTTGGCTGAGCATTGGGCGTAAGGAAGCTGAGTCCTCGGTTCATTGGGTCGTATCAGATTTTGAAAATAGTGAGATTAGTGGCCTATCATCTTGCCTTTCCTCCACAGTTGTCGAATCTACACGACGTTTTCCATGTATCGCAGCTGCAACGTTATGTTTCGGATGAATCATATGTGGTGATACCGAATGACATTGAAATTCGGGAGAACTTGAAGACTCCTATAGGTACTATTGATATCCTTCATCGCAGTGAAAAAAGGCTGAGAAGAAAAAATATTCAATGGGAAGAACGTACACCTGAGGAGACTACTTGGAAACGAGATGATGAAATTCTTCGGCTGTAACCTGAGTTAACGGACAGGTATGATTAATTTTGCGGACAAAATTTCTAAAATGAGGGGTGAATATAACACCTCGTATTTCTAAAACATATATTTATATATGTTATATGGATTAAAGGACAGGATTAGTGAAAATCCTGAAATTAGGGTTAAAATAAAAAGGAAGGGTAAAACAGTAATTAGCCAAACACGTAATCCTAGGAAAGTGAAATTGAGTAGGAGGTCTCAAATGAGAAAACAAACCCTAGAAATGGATTCAGAACGAAAAATTAAGTGGTCAGGCAAGTTTCTGAAAATCTTGTGAATAGTGTTTTTACCGGTTAAAAATAATGCGGTACAACTACACCATAAAGCGGGCCGAATGAATTTTGAGCTCTATGATTGGATATAAGTTATAAATGGTACATAGGACTAGGAAATATGATTTCTGGTGAAAATTGATGGAAATTAGATTGTTTGGGGATGCATGCCCACTGCGTGCATAACAGCTTAAAACTGCGATTTCTCCGAACGACCGGAATACTCCGGATCCATCTGATCAAGGACAATGGTTAATGTTAAAAATTATAGTTTCTGAATAATTTATGAAATTATGGACGTTTAGTGGAATAAGCGGGAGATTTGAATTTATTTGAATCGCGTGAGGTGGCGGTGGGACCCACCCCACTTAAGTGACCTTTAAACACATGGCATTGTGTCACTATTCATCATCTTTTTCTCCTTTCTCTCTCATCAAAACTGTGCTCCTTCCCCTTCCATGGACAAGTTTGGTTCAAATTTTCTTTCTCTCCTAACTCACTCAAATCCAACAAAGTTTGTCATCAAACTTTAAGTAAACGATCATTCGAACACAACCATACCATCCACAAGCCTTGAAACTCACTAAATTTGGAGAAATCTCCCATATACAACAGCGACCAAGTGAAGGTTTTTGGTGCTCTTGGAGTTGATTGATCCTCCAATGCTTTAGTATGTTGTGGAGGAGTCCTAGGCCTTGCTTGTAAGTAAGTTTCCACACTTTTGATTGGTTGAATTGATGGATCCAAATTCATGAACCCTAGAGCTTGCATGCTTGATTGATGTAGTTAGAGAGCTCAAATTGAAATTGTGTATTAGATAAAAGTGGCTTAGAATAATATTTTAGAGTGATAGAAACCGTAAAAAATATTGATGAATTTGGTTAATAACTTAGGAAAATTTTGAGTTGGGATGTTAACACTTTGTGAAATTGATATGTTCAATGATTATGTAATTGAGTTGTGGAGTTTTTGTACGAGTTAATTATAGGATTGTAAGGTGTGTGTAAGTATGAAATTGGATTGAATACCCCTAGGTGTAGGGACATGATGAGTTCGACCATGTGAGGGCTTGTGGGACTTGATGTTGTAAAAATTGTATAATTGTTGTTGTGTGGTTGTGTATGGTATTTAAATGAATTGGATGTTGGTTGGATGCATGAGGATTGGGGGAGGAACCATTGGATAGGCATAAGCGTAAGAATTGGCCTAAAAGAGGATAATTGCAAAAGTAGTGTTGGGATGGAGTCGGATGAAAAATGGGACTTGAAATGATGTTGTGGTAACCTTAGAATTCTAATGGTAAATTAAAATAAAATTAAGAAAATTATTTGGTAATTTTGGCCTTAATGGCCGAAGCTATGCATGTGGGAGGGGTGCTTTGGTGCTTTGTAATTTTTGTTAATTGCACCATGTGTTGATGATCCTCGTGTGATCACTGTAGGTTGCCTCCCACGAAAGTGAACTTGGAGCTTTGAGCTTGGTGAGTTGCTTTTGGTCCTGGACCAAAGGGATTTTGGCATTTCTTAAAGTACCAAGCTCAGGGACATATTGAATTGGAGCTATCAAGCAAGAAGGATTAATCAGGTAATCCCTTGGTACTGGGGTTTGATCCCTGTGTGTGTTCCACCATGCCTCTTGAAGGTAGTGGTTGGAGGTGTATGTTGGTAGTATAGTATAACATGATCATGCATATTGTATGTATAGTGGTACATAGGATGTACCGTGTCTCTGACCAGTATACAGTTTGCCTTCAGGCGTTACGGACTTCCACTAGATAGGTCTCCATGAGGGAGTTCCAGTTAACCTGAGGTCGTGGTGTGTCATCCGTAGAGGAGCACACTAGGAAGTCTCGGGTGTATATGGATAGAGGGTGCCTTGGTTGATGTTCTGGGAACACTACCTTGGATTGGAACCCGTAGGCTATATGCCGAGGCCAATAGGCCAGATGTTGCGTGGTATTGGCATCGACCATTCCAGCTTCATCGTATTTTATTCCCTATGCTTTCCTACTTCACTAAATCCCTTGTTTTATCTTATTTTGGAATGTTGTATTATATTATTGATATGCATCAAAGTGAGCCATTGGGCGGTGTAATCTCCAGAACCTCTGGGTTACTGAGATATATTCGTATGTCTCACCCCATTTTGGGGACTTTATTTAAGGTAGTGGCAGTGGCGTTGCAGCGGCGAGCAAGAGGCCCGTAGGATGAGCTTATGGACGTAGTGTGTATTTTTCATTATGTGGTCCTTTGGCCTAGGCTAGTCTTAGGACCTGAACATTGTATTAAGCTAGGACTATTCATATTGTCATATTTGTTCATGTCACTTTTTGGCTAAGCTTAGCTTATGTTTCACCATGTTTTCATTTGGAGATTTATTTGTATTATGTTCCATTTGAGAAGATGTAATTGTAATCTTGAGACTTTGTGTAATATTGAAGCATGTATATGATGAAAGGGCAATAGGTCTATTCTAGGATTTGATTTATGTTTTATGTCAAAGAAATGCATGCATAGGAATTAATTTGATTGAAATGGTTTAAGATTTGATAATGCAATTATAATTGTAAAGTAAGCTAATTGATATGAATTGTGAGGGGTTGTAAGAGCACCAAAGCATTGCTGGTCCTTGAGTGCCACCCATGTTTATTAGGTACCATTTGAGGTTAGATAACACACTTTTAAAAGTGGGATATGTTGGAAAAACAAAGGAGACTCAGGCAAAATTTCTCTAAATTGACAGATTTTGAGTGAACTTTGGAAGAGCATATATCCCTCCATAAAGGTCCAATAGGAATGTGTCATACACCATTATAAAGCTTGAGATGTCAAATACTTTGTGTCAAAATTTGAGAGCCATAGGAGTAGTACGCTTCCCTTTAGAGGTCATTGAACACAGACTGCCCAAAATCCCCTGCACTTGGGGGCTGTGTCACCATGCGTTTTTGAGAAAATTATTTCTGCTTCGTTTCTTGGTCAAATTAGATGCATGATATGTCAAATTGAAGCTTAAGGTGTCTATTTTACCGTATAAAAGTTTGAGAACAATTGTTAGAGTGGATTTTCCAGAATCGTTGTGAGAGTGAGGGCTGTTTGGAGCCCTGTTTGAGATTGGCGGGCAAATTTGCTTGTCCAACTTCAAACGATGATATTCGGAGCAAACGAGAACTTTATGACTCGTGTGATAGCTTGTTAGAAAGATAATTGAGTCTAGAATAACATAATAAAATATAAGAGATTCGCGGCATGCGAATTTTCCTCAGTAACCAGAATACCAAACCATGTTCGGATAGTTAGAAACCGTAAAAGTGAGATTTAAGCTAAATGGATTTATGAGAACCCCTTAGTGACTTGAGAGGAGTGTTATATGATATCTAGGCATTTTATATAATTATTCCGCAATGAGTTTTCAGTTACGGTCACAGCTTTTATTTATTACGCCTTATTATTGCTTTACATGCTCGCGTAATAAAAAGGAGAAAGTTTACTCGCTTTTTATAAAAGAATTGTTGTGATTGTAACTGCGCTTAATATCATAATCAATGTTAACCATACCGGTGTACAACAGACTTTTACATTAATTGCCTCGATGAATAAGCGACAATTCTTCTTTTCTGCATCAACACACAATCTAGCCCCTTCTTAGAGGCATCACAGTACAACTCAAACTCCTCTTCAGGATTAGGAAAGGTCAACGCTGGCGCAGTCGTTAAGCTCTCCTTCAACTCCTGAAAATATTCCTCACACTCATGGGTTCACACTAATGGAGTCTCTTTTCTGATAAAATGGGTAAATGGCCACATCATCTTAGAGAATCCTTCAATGAATCTCCTGTAGTAACATGTCAATCCCAAGAAACTCCTAACTTCAGTAACAATTTTGAGTTTCTCCCAATTCATCACTGCCTCAATCTTATTAGGGTCCAATGCCGCTCCCTCAATGGAGATGATGACATGACCAAGGAATTTCACTTCTGAAACCCAGAATTCACGTTTAGAGGGTTTTGCATATAGCTGCTTCTCTTTCAAGATTTGCAGAAATATTCTCAAGTGATCTGCGTGCTCCTCCTTATTTTTGGAATAGATCATAATCTCATCTATGAAGACAATCACGAACTGACCTAAGTACGGTTGAAAAACCCGATTCATGTAATCCATGAAAATGGCGGGAGCATTAGTCAGTCCAAATGAAATGACTTGGTACTCATAATGTCCATATATGGACCGGAATGCAATTTTGGAAAATTCTTCGGCTTAACCCGGATCTGATGGTATTAGGACCGAAGGTCAATCTTGGAGAACGCACAAGAATTGCTCAATTAATACACATTGGATAAAAAAATTTAAATTAATACAATCAAATGTGCAGTTAATTGATACAAGACCGGTCTGTTTTTTCAAATTAATACAGTCAAATGTCAATTAATTGATACAAAACACATCCCGTACCTGGTACAAGATTCACAAGATTTAGTGTCACGTCACATGATACGTTTTTAATCTGGAAGTCCATAAACAAATGTACGAAGGAAAGAGGAAAAAGTAAGTTCAAATGCAATTATACCTTTGGGTATGCCATCTCAAGTCCACATCAGTCATGGAAAATAGTGCCATAAACCCAACTTATATCGTAGCTCTTCATTGAGTTCGGTGTGTGAAAATCGCATCTCATAATAATTTTTAAAGTAAAGTACTTTTTAGATTCTCAACAAGAATCATGAGACTCATTTTAATTTTTTTTAAAAAAATTAATCCATCTAAAATTTAAAATAAACACAGTTAATCTTTCCGCTCCATAGGATACTATTAGAGGCCATTTGCGTTATAGAAGTGGTTTATTTTCTTTACATGCAAGGTCCTAACACGAACTTTTTTCGTTTGATGCTCATTTTTTATGAGTTGAGTGGTTCACATTTTTTGAATTTACCGTCTAAGCGATTTTGCAGGTTTTTTAATTATTAAAAGGGAAACACTATTCCCGTTTTACTGTAATAATAAATGACCTTTTGCTGGGTGGCTTGTTGATGGAAGAGGGGGCTTTTTATGCTGAAGAAAGGTTGCCGATGAGGCATGTCTAAATTTTCAAGACAATGGTAGGCCATATGTGCTGTTGAGAGACATCCATGAAGCAGACGAAGAGAGCTTTCCTCTCCATAAAGGCTAACATTTTACCTACAAAAGTTAGAACGAATATGGTTCTTACGTAATCATCACAAGCCTGAGGACAAATGCAAGTGGCTGCATCCATGCAAATTAAAATAACCAAATCTTACTTAAAACAATTTTATATCAATCTCAAATACAACCAAATAAATAGCGAAAGTTTCACTAAGATAGTATTACAGAAATGTAGACCCAAACAAAAGCAACGCGGGACGAAGCAGCAATTTAGGAAGATTGAATAAGTACAATAAATGATAAAATTGAGCTTTCTTATCTTTATACAACATCAATTACAATATCTTAGCAAAACATCTACGATTACACAGATTACAGGCTGTGATAAACAAAATTGAACGACCACTTACTGGATCTAACATATATACAAAAGCCTCTTAAGCCAAAATTTGTGTTTCTCCTGCCATTTCAGCAGGAAACAGAACTATTGATGTAAGACATTGTCATTTCACTCTAAAGTCAACTTCTGAGGCAATTTGCCATGATGGCCAATTCAGGCTTAGAATAATTTGATTTATTAATTGCACGGTCAAAGACCAACCTTCATGACTTCTCCAAATCGCATTGGAAGATGTATTATGATAAATCTGCAAAGAACAAATATCACGTTGCCCATGGCTCCAAGTTCTTTCTACTAAAAAAAGTAAAACTAAACAACATCCCAGATTCAAGAAAGAGTACAGGTGGTACTAAGAACAAGTACCAGCAAAAATAATCATTTTTGGTCCAAATGAAAGGGGACAGGCACTCAATGATCGCTGCCTATTTTCCTTGTCTCAACAATTGGCATAAGCATACAATTGAACCTGTTAGGTTTCCATACACCAGATCTTTTTTAAAAGATCACCAGGATCTTCTCAACAAGCAGAAGAGGACCGAGTTTCTAGTTACAAATAAACCGGCTTAACATCATTAGCCCCAAAACTTGTACCACACTGTGGACATTTACGGTGCCTACTCCCAGCAACTTTCTGGATGCAGGAATTGCAGAACAAGTGGTAGCATTTTGTAATTACCACCTGACAAAAAATAGAAACATATGAGTGTTTCATCCGGGAAAAAAAGAAGCAAAATTTGTTATTTTTTCACATTTTAATTTGAAAATAGACTACCAAGTGTACAAAAACGTGTGCACACCCCTAGTTGAATAATTTCTACTTCAGAAACAGTAGGGATTTGTTTTTTCTTTGTAAAGCAGGTACTTCATTATGGAATAATCTTCATGGGGTTCTTGATGAACACTGACGGTGACTCCTTTCACTGTGGAGCAGATACTGAAGTTCCATTATATGGACTTTGGTCGCAATGAGGGGGCTGATTGTCTAAGATGTAGCGGCAGTGTGCACTTAATGTATTTGGGGGAAGACGAATGCCAGCATCTTTTAGGGTGACAGTTTGCCCCTAAACTTCTTAAGTGGCTAAATTTTTATGGAACAATCTTTTTGGGGTTCTTGGTGTGCAATGGATATGTTCTTTTATGACCGAATAGTTTCTGGAGGTTCGTTATAAAGGTTTCAAGTAAAAATGAGGATATAAAAAAGTTTGGGTGAAAATATGACAGCCTAAATCTTGTAGAAGTGTGAAGTATTCAGTTTTTAGTGCATTTGGTTGGAGCGGAATGCTTGCTTGCATCTATACCGGTGCTAGTTTGCCCCTAAACCTTATATGGGATAGACTAACTCATAGCTTCCCTTTGGTGTACCATTTCATCGCGGTTTCAAAGAAGCTTTCACCTCTGATATAGAGACTGGGAAGCCCCTACTGCATTCTTCATTCCTTTTCTTTTTTATGTCATATATAGTCTATTCTTTTTCAAAGGCCAAGTGAACCTCCCCCTTAGATGTGTTTTCCCCTTTCTATCCAATCAATTTTGTTTTTATATCAAACAAAAACCATAGAACAATAAGGTAAATCAGAAATGACAGTATAAAATCACTTCTGAAAATACAGCAGTAATTTCTTGGCCTGGTGAAAATCGCCTATTTAGGTGTTTATCAGTGGTGGTATAATACGGATCTTTACACTGGAGCTGACTTATCTCTAAGAGAAAAAAAAAAGGTAAAAAAAGAGGCTGGGACAAGAGAGAAAAGAGACACGAGACAGTTGGTTTTACAGCCATACATGAGTTCACTGGAGATACAGAACCAAATTTTGTCAGGATAAATTCTGACAGTGGGGAGAGGAATCACCTGAGAGGATCAGAGAAAAAAGATACACAAATTGAAGATGAAAAGAAGAAATGGCCAGACAGATATATCAAGAAAACAGAGATGAGGCACCTGAACAAACTAGGTATTCTCAAGTGATGGAGATCACATAAAAATCACAAACCCATTTTTTCAAATAACAAATTCCCTGCAGACAGCCATTTCCACAATGTATATTGAGGTTGCCATTTTCCACCAAGTGAAATCCAAAACGCCATGATTTATTTCCTGATGGCGTTTTATTGGATTTCCACCATGCCATTCTGCCATAGCACTGCCATGGCAGCTTTTTAAAAATACTGGGTAAAGTCCACCCGCATGGAGCTCAGTTCCACACCTAATGGTTGATGCTTTCCAGCATTCAATTGCACCTTTACAAACTTCCTTTTTGAAACCCATTTAACAGTTCACAGCACATTAAAAAAAAAATACCTCCTTTGTCCTGTCTTGGCAGATACTGCACTTCACAATTTCCCTGTACTCTCCCAGCTCTTGTTGAAGCTTCTCAGTTACTGAGCAGCCCTCATTCTGTGCTTTAAGGCAGGAAAACTTTCTCCGAGCAACCTCCAGCTCCTCCTCTATTCTTTTCTTCGCAAACCTGGTAGCAAAAGGACAAATGATCCACAACTGCTTTGTGCTAAAAACATTAGAAGAAAACAAATTCCAAACAATACATACAGACTAAATACCTTTCTTTCTCGAGTTCTACTTCTAACTCCATACGAGTCACTCGACTACTAGTAATTTTAGATTGCACTTCCACCACTGTATCCCTAACCTGTTGAGATGATCTTCTAATATCCGACAACCTTCTTTGTGTATTTTCCAAATTGACAGAACTTTGAAGTTTATCCTCTGCAAGTCTTTGAATCTGATCTGAACAAAGCTTAAACTGCATATCAAGTAAATAGAAGTCAATTCCAAATTCATATCTGAAGTGTGATTTAAATTAAGACCCAGCTACCTGGTCTTCAATTCTTGCAGCTTTGATGTCATATAAATTCAGGGATACACTTGCTTGCTGGATCTCTTGTTCCATTACCCGCTTCTCCATGACCAACGAATCCTGCTTTTGTCTTGCCCTCACACCCTCTAGAACAAGCTGTGCACCAACGCAGTAACATCAATATATAACCCCAAAAAAGAAAAACAAATATCATTATATAAATAAGTGTTTATTATTTCTCATGTTGTAGGAGATAAATTTATCTCCTACACACATTAAAGTGTGTGGAACCCATGTTTTTTCTTTCTCTTTTTTCTCCTCACATGGGCCCCACACACTTTTACGTGTAACTGACAAAAATTATAATAGACAACAGATTCAAATTTTTTGTTCTGCAAGGAACATTTAATTCTTTAGAGATGATGACATGTACCAAACTCAAACCAATTATTTTCTTTCGATGTGAACTCAAATTTAAAAATAAGCAATCCTTATTTCTTTGATTATATAGTCAGACACCAACCCATGGACCCTTGAAGATTCCCGGATGAAATGCAAGGGATTTTTGGCAGAATAAGCATGCCTAAGAAGATGTAATTTTTTCTAATTTTGCCATTCTAGTAGTCAGCTTATTTGGTCCCTATAGACAGGCATCCTATGATGCACAGACACGGGACACGACACGACATGCCGACACGTAAATTCTAAAAAATGTCATATTTGGACATGTTGGGACACGTTTTGATATAAATAAAATTTTTAATATATATAATATGATTTATATTTAATACATATAAGAGTCCATAATAAGTCATATAACCAATTAAATATTTAAATTTCATAACATAAATATAAATATATATAATTTTTCGTAGTTTGTTAATTTTTAAAGTCAAATTTTATAACAGAAAAAAATTATTTATGAATTATTTCTTTTATATTTAGTTAACAAAAAAAAATTAAGATTTAAAAAAAATAAAAAAATAAAAAAAATTAAAAAAAACGTGTCCAAGCGTGTCCCCAAATGTTGACCGCGTGTCCCCAAATATTGACCGCGTGTCGGAGAGTTGACCGCGTGTCCTCAAATGTTGACCGCGTGTCGGACGCGTAAATTTCAAAAAAAAAAAACGTGTCCGTGTAACGGAGCATCTGGTTACATCAATACAAGAGCTTCAGTTATTTGGGTTTTGCCTTTGTCTGATAACTGATTCAGCTATGTTTCTTCTTAATTTTTTTTATTAGTGATCACATATACACTAAAACCTTATGATTTGGCCTATTTTGTTATCAAACCACGATTTCATCAGTAATCAATAAACCTAATTTAAAGCCTATTTTTAATGAAACAAAGATGTAACATATCTCAAAGGATTGACTCCACATTCCCGAGAACAACTGGTGCAGAGCCAAAGTATTTTTCTTCTCTCTCCTTTACTTTTCCAGTGTCTAATTTCAACAGTTTACAATATCACTTTACTGACATTAAATCAATCCATTTTACAATTGACCCAATTAATCAACCCGCCTATTTGACCTAATCCCAATCAAACCCAGGAGTAACTATTCTCTTACGAATAGTACCACTAGGTAGCATATGAAGGCATTTAAGAAAACTTTCAAACATTGCAGTCTTTAATCACACTTTAGAATTTAAATTTGGTTTCGTTTATGTTATTTAGTCTTACTAAATCTTAATTATTCTCTAGGGTTTAACCCATGGACCATGACTTGTGTAATCTGAATTATTTAAGAACATATTGTCATGATCTTTAAATTAAACTTATACAAAGGTGCAATCAATTTCAAAGAAAGAGGTTGGCCAAAACTAACTTGAGGATAAGTAATAAAACAAGTTTTAATTTAGAGGGAAATGAATTCGCATGTAGTTTGTGTTAGGACAAAGTGAAGGAAAGCTATTAGTACTAGATTTTTCTATATTTTTATTTATTTTTTTGTTTTTTATTTTATATATATATATAATTATATATATATATATATGGGTTTGATGTTTCTCATGTTGTAGGAGATAAAATTATCTCCTACAGACACATAAAAGTATGTGGGACCCATAGGGGGTCATATGAAGAGAATAGAGAAAAAAAGAAAATATAGCCTCCACATACTTTTATGTGTGCAGTCTCCTGTAACATGAAAAACATTAAACCCTATATATTCTAATTTATTATTTATTTTTCCTTAATCTATTCTATGGGATCATCAATCGCCAACCCCAATTGCTTTGGGATACAAGTGATATTGACGATGATGATGATAACCAAAGGTGCAACCAATTTCAAGACAAGTCACCTTAATATTGTAATCATCTCTCTCGGTAATCTGCTGCAACAGCTGTTGATTTTGAGTTTGCATGTCATCATATGCCTGTCCAATAGTCTGCAGGAAAATCATCCCGAGAGCAATAGACCAACATTAAAGTTGTAAAAGCTAGAAAAAGTTTCAAGCTGAATAATCAGTAAAAATTGTCATATGCTGCAAAGAGGAATTCCATTCCACCAAGATAAGAAATCCAACCTCTATTTCAGATAAGTAGGCCTCATTTTCCTCGTTTTTAGATCTCAAGACATCAGACAACTTACACATGTCCCTGAAATGGTAAAACATTATGGATTAATTAAGTTAACCATCACTAAAATAACATAGCATATAATTAAGGGCTACAATTGCAAACAAATGAGATTGAAACAAGGTTTTATGAGATGATCTCAGCTGCATTCACATAAAGCATGTATTGACTTCCAATTTACTGACATAAAGAATAAGCAAACTCATCCACCAACTGAAAGAAAAACAAAAGCATCAAGTTTCGAACTCCAAGGATACAAACATCTGTAGGTATAACGGCACAACAGCTCTACATTTTCAAAAATATCGAGAGAATTAATAAATGCAACATCAGATTGGAGTATTTACAGACTAATGACAAAGTAACTTTCAGTAATTGGAAGCTCATACAGAAATGCACAGACAAGCTCATACCGAAAAAGATCAATGAAAAATGAGTACAAATAAGAATTAAAGAAACCATAATTAGTAGATGTAAAAAACCAATTCAACCCAAAAGCTTAACTTGTTGGGTGAGACTATATTAATGGTTTTATATATCTCAACACACCCCCTCACACGAGAGCCCACTGGGCTTGAAGGGTGGACAATGCACAGGCCCACCTACCTGTGCAAAGAAAGAAATTCCACTAGAAAGAAAGTGAGGAGCGGTGAGGATCGAACCCGGTACACCGAGGCGCTGATACCATGTAAAGAATCAATTCAACCCAAAAGCTTAAACTGTTGGGTGAGGCTATATTAATGGTTTTATATATCTCAAAAGTAGATATTAAGACAAAAGCAAAAAAAGAGCATCTGAAAGAACCTGCGACGAGGGAGGTAGGAAAAAATAAAGACCATTTATGTACCAACCTTAGTCAATCACCTTTATATTTTATAGAAAAAACCAAATAACCAAAAAAAAAGAAAATCAAAAGAACACCACACCATTCAATAAGCTAGCAAAAATGCAGTCAGAGACTAAATAAAATAGATAGCTTGTGTCTTAAGGCTAACATGCATAAGACTAGGTTGGAGCATACTTTCAATTAGCAACAAAAGATTCAGAGGCTAACCTTTTAGAAGCTTCTAATTTCTGTCTCATGTCTGCTATCTCAGCTTCAGCAGCAGCCAGCTTTTGTTGAGATCTGGCCTCTGCTTCATTTGCCATCTTAACTCGAAATTCTAAGTTGTGCTCATCAAGAGATGATTTCAAACTTTGAACATGTGCCCATGCTCTGTATTCTGCATCACGTGCTTCCATGACATCCCTACAGACACAGATCCATGTTAGAGTTCTACATATTGTGTTTCATGCAATTATGGGACCTAGCATGGCAATCAACACAAAAAAAGACTACATGACACACAACTTCCCCATGTTACTGGCTCAGCCAAAATGTTTACCATAGTTAAAGTGTCCGGTTAGAAATAATATATATATATATAAATCTTCCATCTATGTTCACCTAATAGTTTAAATTTTTGGATTGAAATGGTTGTTTGACGTGATATTAGAAACTATGTGACCATGTGGTCCAAAGTTCAACCCTTACTGTCCCCATTCTTATAATAAATATTGTGAATTTCTTGGTATAAGTAGGTGGGTCAGTGTTTTATTCACCCTTCAAGCCCAATGAGCTAATATGAATGGGCATGTTATAAATATAATATAAATATAAAACCATTCATCTAACTACACCTAACAACTTAAGTTTTCGCGTTGAATTAATTATTTGACATGTACATGCGAATTTTTTTAAAATAATTTCATTGGAAAGATGTCAAGTAGTCTTGGAAAACATGCATAAATTGTGCGCACGACTGTATATTTATATACTGCTAATGTAGTTACTGAACAATGTAGTACAAATAGTAACAGTACAAAAAAATCATAAAAGACTAAAATACCCTCTTAACAATCCCCCTTAAGTTGGAGCATAGATCATTATCACGCCCAACGGTTCGATGTGACTTGCAGCAAAACAACCATGCTTAATCCATTCGCGAATAAAAGTGAAAATCAGCTACTATGTATTTTTGTCTTCTCATCGAGTATTCACAGCAAATGTGACTTGCAGCATGATTGTTACACTTGAGCTTTGCTAGAAAGAATCCTTTATATATTGGGAAATGCTACCTATATCTCCTATTTAGGGAGCATATATACTATAAATGTAATAAGGATTTGCTTTGTATTTTCATTTATTGCACAATGTTTAAAACCATGAAAATAATGTAATAGTGACCACGGGGGATGGAGTCCCACATTGAATATTTTACCGTGAAACTGGTATAGACTATTCACAATAGAGCCTTAGTTGTGCTATCGAGACACAGATCACATCATATTGAGAGCCTGACAAGAGGCAACCCTAAATTCGTGCCTACCTAGTGAACTCACTGCCTGTCGGCAAGAAAATTTTTCCCAAAATCGTGTCGCCCATCTAGTTTTGGGTCTCTATTTTCATGATGTCCCTCCGACAACAATCCTAACCTAAAAATGTTCGAGCCTCCAACAACAGTAACCGCAATCTTCTTTCACATCTATGGTCATTGTCTATTGCCTATCACCATGTTGGAAAATTTTACATCAAGTTTCTAATAGGTGACCTGCCGATCCAAAGCGCCCATCAAGCCTGGCACAATAGTGCTAGACCCAACCCATGATCTTCAAAGATGCACTCTCACGCGTGTGCCATTTGCCTCGGCATCACACACCTCCAGCAACATGCGCAGAAGCGCGTACCACAACTTCTTTGCCCTTATTCATAGTTCTCTATCAGTCTTAGATTTGTCCAGTACCGTGAGTTTTGTTCCCTTCAGAGTTCATTTTGTTTGCTCCCTCTTTCAGTCCAAGAATGTCTCGAAGCTCGCAGCTTTTGATTATACTGCTTCTATTGCGCACAACGGTAATAATTTTGCTAGTTTAACTGGAACTTCAACCTTTGGACATTGGGTTCTTGATTCTGGTGCCATTGACCACATCACTGATAATATGTTCCAATTCTCCTCTTTCTCTCTCTCACTACCTCTGGTTACTTGCCTAATGTATTAGTGGCTAATGGTTCCCAAGAATAATCTCATGGGCTTCGAACCATCTATCTTTTTCCCTCTCATTCTATTGTTAATGTTCCTTATGTCCCTAATTCTCTCTTTAATCTCCTTTCCACTAGTTGTTCTCCTAATTGTCTCATCTCATTAACCTCGTCGAACCATCGCTCAAAGGGCCTGATTGGGATCAAATTTGAGTTCAATAGCCTTTACCAACTTTCTAGCACTACTCATGCTTTTTATATCCTAGACTCTCTACTCAAAGTCCACACTCAATTGCATCATCCTAGTCTCGCGAAGCCCCAAAAGTGGTGTCACATCAATCAAATTCGTCTATTTTGCAATGTGAGTCATATAAATTCGGATAACATTTGAAGTTCCTTTTTCTCTTACTTTATCTCCCTTTAGTTTGGTCCACTATATTGTTCGGGGTTTAAGTAGTTCACTCTAATATTTGGGGTCCAACTCATGGAAAATCCATTGTGGTCTAGATACTTTTGTTACATTTATAGGTAATTATTCTTGGTGCATTAATTAATTTTTTAATGAAAGATCGGTCTAAATTATTTTACATATTTCAGAAAATTTATCATGAAATTCATACTCAATTTGTTCCTATCCGCACTTTACGTAGTGATAATGCCCATGAGTATTTGTCTCATCCATTTCAAGCATTTAAGGCCCCTCGCGGCATTCTTCATCAAACATGACATGTTCATACACATCTACCCAACCCCAACAAATTGGGGATGCTAAAAGAAGGTAAAAAAGAAAACATTGAAACAACTCCTCTTGGGGACTATATGTTATATGTCATTTAATCGAGTGCGCTCCTCTATCCTTGATAAAGTAACTCATTTTGTACTATTTGCCCATCAGCCTTTCCGCTTACTAGCCCACATGTTTTGGCTCTACCTGTTTTGTTCATAAACTTTAGTCTCGGTTTGGATAAGTTATCGGCTAAGTCCCATAAGTGTATCATTCTTGGCTACACCTGGTCTCAAATGGGTTATAGATGTCACGCAACACTTTGATGCTATCTACACTCGATGTTACATTCTTTGAGTCAATTCTGTTCTTTGGGTCTTCTTCATTCACCTCTATTGCTTTACCTCCTCCAGTTTCGGTTAAGTTCACATCTCCACCACAGTTTACTCTTTTCGGTTAAGTTCACATATCCACCAAAGTTTACTCTTCCAGCTACATCCGATGGATATTGCCCTCAATAACTATTGCCAATGAGGATCCTGCGCACATCATTTCGGCCCCTTCTCTCGCCTCCTCCAAACATTCAGCTGCTCAATTCTCTCCACAATGAAATTCGTACTTCTCATAATCCCTCAACTCACTATGTTGTTTTGAGATATCAGTGCCTCTCCCTCTCACATGTTGCTTGTATTTCTTGTTTATCTTTTGTGCCTATTCCTAGGACTGCAAGTGAGGTTTTATCCTATTCAAAGTGGCATCAGGCTATGATTGATGAAATATGTTCACTTCATAGGACTGGCACTTGCGATTCTGTTCCTCTTCTCCATAGGAAGTCTATTGATGGCTATCGATAGGTACTCACTATTAAGGTTGGTCCTGATGGTCAAGTGGATTATTTCAAGGCTCATATGGTGGCGAAAGGTTATATCCAAGTCTTTCGACTCGATCATGGAGCACCTTCTTCCTAATGGCGAAAATGCATTTGTTTGCCTCCTTTATATGTGTCATTATTCGTCACTAGCCACTTTATCAACTAGATATCAAGAGTGCTATGTATGGAGAAACCTCCAAGATCCGTTGCTCCTGGACTCTTCCACCCTAATTTTTCTTCTTTATAAGTCCCTAAATTTACACAAGCAATCTCCAAGAACGTCAATAGTTTGGTTTGATTCGGAGTGAGGTAAACCACACTCATTCTTCTATCGCCAACTCAGTTGAAAGGTGTATCTATTGGTGCTATATGTCAATGACAAAGTCATTTCAGGTAACGATTATCATGGCATCACTCAAGTAAAATAGCACCTTTGTTTTCACTTTAAAACTGTTAGAATATTAGATATGATATGATTAGATTTGATTAGATATGATTGGATTCTGTCTTATCCATAAATAGTCTGACTGTATTAGGATTAGGTTTGGATTAGGTTTGGGCCTTACACTTAAGCCCATTAGGGTCTCTATATATTATAACTCCCTGACACAGATCAATACACAACGTATTCTTTTACATTTAACTTGGTATCAGAGCTCTTTCGTTCTAGGAACCCTCGCTTCCGCTCAGAAACCTTGTTTTTCGCTTTAAAAACCTAAGCCCACTGCTTAGGAGTCCTCTTTCTTGCCGTGCGTCCTTCTTGCAAGCCTTCTAGGGCTGTAAACAGCCTCTGAGTGATTTTTCCAAACGCGTCAGCACCTCCGATGGCCACCGGAACCACCGCCCGCCGTCAGAATCACTGTTCAGGCAACCGGAGACTTTTTCCGGCGACTTTTCCGACCAAACTTCACGCAATCAAGACAGGGCATTTCTATCTGTCAAAGGAAATATGCCTTGGATATCCTAGAAGAAACTGGTATGTTGGGGAGTAAACCAGTTGATACACCTATGGATCCTAATGTCAAGTTATTACCTGGACAGGGGGAGCCGTTCTCTGATCCTGGACGTTATCGGAGGCTAATTGGGAAGCTCAATTATCTTACTGTGACTAGGCCAGATATTTCTTTCGCTGTCAGTACGGCCAGTCAGTTCCTTGATTCCCCTTGTGATTCACATTGGGATGATGCTGTGAGGATCCTCCGATACATCAAAGGAGCACCAGGAAAAGGTTTGTTGTATTCGGATCAGGGAAATACAGAAATTTGTGGTTACTCAGATGCCGATTGGGCAGGATCACCCTCGGACAGACGCTCTACTTCTGGTTATTGTGTCTTCTTCGGAGGAAACTTAATCTCATGGAAAAGCAAGAAACAACCTGTTGTTTCCCGATCTAGTGCAGAAGCTGAGTATCGTGCAATGGCAAATACTACATGTGAGTTGATCTGGTTAAAGCAGTTGATTCAGGAGCTTCATCTTTGTGAACAGAAACAACCCATGACACTCATCTGTGATAATCAAGCTGCGCTACATATATCCTCTAATCCTGTTTTTCATGAGAGGACCAAACATATAGAGATTGATTGTCACTTCATTCGGGAAAAGATTCAGTCAGGAGAAATCAAGACAGCTTTTGTCAACTCGTCTAATCAACTAGCAGATGTTTTCACTAAAGCTCTTAGAGGTCCTCGGGTTGAATACATTTGTAACAAGCTTGGTGCTCATAATATATACGCACCAGCTTGAGGGGGAGTGTTAGAATATTAGATATGATATGATTAGATTTGATTAGATATGATTGGATTTTGTCTTATCCGTAAATAGTCTGACTGTATTCTGACTGTATTAGGATTAGGTTTGGATTAGGTTTGGGCCTTACACTTAAGCCCATTAGGGTCTTGAAAATTTCCGATACTTCGTAGGGATGGAGATAGCCCAATCCAAAGATGGTATTGTAATATCCACGAGGAAGTATGCTATTGAAATCATTGAGGAAACATCTCTTGAATGCAAAGACTGCAAATACTCCTATATAGATCCAAATGTCAAGATTCCACCAAGTCAAGGGAGTTCTCTCAAATCCAGAGAGATACATTACACTAGTTCAGAACTAAGTTGCCTTACAATCATTCATCCAAACATCTCAATTTTAGTGTGATAAGTTAGTTCTTAAACTCTCCTTGTACAAAACATTGGAATGTTGTGATTCGTATCCTCAAATATAGAATATTGGAATGCAAACATCTCATTTGTAGTGTTGTAAGTCAGATGCTCATTAAGCAGGTTGCCCCAACGATAGGAGATTCACCTATAAGTATTGTGTAGGTTGTAAAGAACCAATTTAACCCAAAACTTAAGATGTTAGGTCAAGGCAAATTAATGTTCTTATGTTTTATATTTTTCTAATATACCTCCTCACAAGATAGCCCATTTTGAAGAGTAGACAATACACAAGTCCACTTACCTGTGCTAAAACTCCACAATATTTAAATTATTTATTAATAGAATGAGGGCAGTAAGGATAAAACTCGTGACCGCTTCGTCACAAAGGCTCTAATAGTATGTAAAGAACCAATTCAATCCAAAAACTCAACGCATCAAGTTTATGGGTCATTTCACTTATATGTTACATGCTTAGCTCATTCCTTCCCGATGCAAAATTTTATTATTCACACTTAAATTCTCAACAATCTCTCCCTCAAGTGTGGGTCTTACAACAGTCAACTCCCCCTCAAGTGTGAGATCCATGCCCACATTCGCTCCCCCTCAAGCGGAAGTTTCTTCAAGTATTCACGGGGTTACATTAAGGCTTGGCTATACTCATCAAGTCCTTGGCTAACATGGCATGGGTTTACATCAAGATTTGACTACACTCATCAAGTTCTTGACTCCACATCATGGGTTTGACTGGCACATCAAACCCAAACACTAACCACCATATCCAAATACTCAGTTCACACAGACCAATCAATCATTGGCTCTGATAACATTGCTGGGCACAGAGGGGAGCCTATTACAAGGGAAAACTACCATCAAGTGGGTTAAGCGACAATCCACCACAATACGTGGACTCAACACCACATCCCAACCAAAAACCTTAAGGCATTAGGTTTGTGAGTTCTTCCACTTGTATGGTTCTTACTTAGTCTATTTTTAACCAATATGGGACTTCACAACTCACTTGGATTCCAACAGAGGTATTCTTCATTCATTGGAATAAATTGATTTCATGGAAAAGTAAAAAACAAAATTTGGTTGCAAGATCAAATGCTAAAGCAGAATATCGAACAATGGCATTAGATACTTAAGAGCTCATTTGACTCAAACAACTATAAGAACTCTGATTTGGATGCATGGGTTCAGCAACACTCATTTTTTATAATCAAGTTGCACTAATTGTATCAAATCCAATATTTAATAAAAGGACCAAGCATATCAAAATAGACTGTCATTTCATCAAAGAGAAGATCATATCAGGAGATATTGTCACTCGCTTCATCAATTCAAATAACCAACTAGTTAGATATCTTCACTATGTCATTGAGGGGTCCTCGAATAAGCTATATCAGCTTGAGGGGGATTGTTGAGAAGCATAAAATTATTGTAATAGGCTACTTAGCATGAGGGATGAAGTCCCACATTGTATACTTTTTACAGTGTAACTATTACAGTCTAGAAATAATAGAGATTCCGTTTTACTATTGAGACACGAATTACACCAGATGCCTCTTGTTTTCCTGTTATCCAACACCTAGTTTTCTTATCTTTTTAGTTTCCTAATACTAGAGATAGTAAATTCCTAGTGTCATATTATGAGATTGTAAATCATGCTTAAATATAAGATGTGCTAACAATTTCCCCGATCAATTCAGAAATCTCTCTTCTATATAAGAGCAAATACAAATCCTAGGACACCCATTAACCCTAAATCATTGTTGTCCAAGCGAGTACCCAATTCAATGGGCAATCTAAATCCGCCCAAAAGCTTTCAGAAACAAAGCTAGTGCTTTCCAGTCACCTTCTGCAGACACTGACAACTTGTCCAACTCGGCCTACCCACAAAGGTTTCCGGCCCAACCTCTATTCCGCTGCACATAGCAACGTGTGGAGCACCGTTTTAGTTTGCATTTGGGGTGTCCATCTGCACTACATGTGCCTCCTACTCAGTTTACTCGTTAAGAAATACTAGAAATGATCCAAATCCTCAATTTGAAATTTGGCCTGATAAAAGCTCTCACGTGATTAAATAACCATGGTCATTCCCATTAATCAAATTCGGGGTGCATGTTTAAGCATAGTAAAGATTTTTATTACCATTGTTTAAGATATAATAACCTAGTGCTTACTTTTATGCTTTCTTTCCTCCATTAAAATTTCTTCCCACGTCTAACAGAAAAGTCATATTTAGTTTATTTCCATGATTCATTTCTTTCTAAACATCTTCCCACGTCTAACAGAAAAATCATATTTAGTTTATTTCCATGATTCATTTCTTTCTAAACATAAACATATGTCGAGAACGCTCCTTGCAATGTTGAAGCCCATATAGAAAAAACATATATATATAAACCAGAACAACTCAGAAGATCAATGAATTCAAGTTGAGAATCGAAACTCGAACCTTGAATCAATAGACTCATGTCTATACATTTCCAGTATCAACTTCAAGTCTGTCTCACTTTCTCTCAAATCTTGAACCTGCATCAAAACCAAAGGAAAGATTTTAACATGAAAGGGAAATAACAGAATAGAAAATCAAATGTCTGCCTTCATACACAGTCAAACCTGACTGCAAGCATTTATATGACTTTGCAGAGATAGTTTATAGCTATCAAACTTATTCTTCCCGAGGCAGAACTGACAATTTAAGACATCTTGCACAGGAATTCAAATTAATAATCCCTATTTATTATCAAAGTAAATTAAAATGCCAATAATGCATAGAGGACATAACAAGAATTAGCATACTTTAGTCAATATATCAACCTCCCCCATTATGCATCTTAGTATGCAATTTTATACATTAGCTGATGAGTACAAATAACTTTTTAAGCTTTATTACAAAAGCAAGAGCTAATAAGTACACTTTTCAACCCCTTTCATAAACCGAACTACTTTATCACCTCATTTTATATAAGCCCTGAAACTATCTATAGCAGAAGTCTATGGTGAAGCATAGAGGAGAGAAGTGAGAACACTAAATACATAGCAATTCTCAAGTGCGTTAATGACTCACGCAAGCCAGAGGGGTGAGGCAAACGTGAATGCATGGAGCATTTTCTTGTAACTGCCTAGACACATTGCAGCAGGGGAGACGAGTAAGCTGTTAACTCTGTTAGAGAAAATATTTAAAATCATAGAGAGAACACTAAATACAAAATTCTCAAGTGGGCTAATGACTCACGTGAACCAGAGAGGTATTAGAGTAGATAAAGGTGTACAGCTATACAGCTGTACACAAAGGTCAATATTGTAATTAGCTAACCATTTCAGTTTTAGAAAACTGATTATTGTTGTAACTGAACTAGATGACGTGGCATAGTTGTTGAAGTCTATATAGACTATCGTGTAACACTTGTTCAATAAGAAAAATACTATTGATTCTATCTCTCCTCTGTTTACTCTCTCTTCTCTCTCTCTCTCTGATTTCTTTGATGGTATCAGAGCCCTCTCTCTGAGAGCCTGATATAGATCGATCCACACGATGTCTTCCGCTTCGCAACCACCATCTCCGTCGTCTTCAGCTACCGAAGCAACCACCGGAAGTGGAGCGACAGAGACTCGGTCATCTTCTCCGTCACTGTTCACTCATCAGATCTCCGTCAAATTAATCGAAAGTAACTTCCTCATCTGGAATCAGGTTGTAGAACCTGTAATCACTTCTCATCAACTTCATCACTATCTTGTTAACCCGAAGATACCTCTTCAGTTCGAGTATGAGCAAGCTCGTGTTGATGGAGCTGTAAATCCATTGTATACTGACTGGTTACGTCAAGACCAAATGCTCCTGTCATGGATCCTCTCTACTGTTTCTGAAGAAATTCTGAACGAGATACTCGGTGTCAGCCATGCATATGAGGCCTAGGAGCAGATCCACGAATTTTTTCTCAAGGTATGATGAGATCTAAATCTCATCAACTCAGATCTGAACTTCGTACCATCAAGAAAGGTGGCAGATCTGTTGCTGAATATCTCAAAAGAGTGAAATCTCTGTGATGAGTTGAAAGCTATCAAAAGTCCTATCTCAGTTGAGGAACAAACTGAACTGATCTTAGCTGGCCTTCCTCCTGAGTTCAATTCTTTTGTTACTTCTGTAAGAGCTCGTGAGAATCCTTATTCCCTCACTGACCTACGAGTTGAGTTGATGTCATATGAAATGATGCTTGCAAGGCAAAATGAGACTTCACTTTCAGATTCCATGGTTGTGAATGTGGTATGGCTGTGAATGTGGTTCAAAAGCTACCTACTGATCCAAAGGAATCTTCAAGGTCTGAATCACCGGCTATGAGACCTCCACTTGAGCCTATGCACACAAGTCAGAATCAAAGATCCTATAATTCCAGTTATGAAAGAGGCAGAGGAAGATTCTATGGTAGAAACAATAGAGGAGGAAGAGGTCGCGGCCGCAATAATATTCAATGTCAGCTATGCTACAAATTTGGGCATGGAGTTCAAAGTTGCTGGTATAGGTTTGATGAAAATTTTGTGCCTGAATTCACCTCACATGATTCTCCTCAATTCCTTCCGTCACAGCACTCGTATCAAAGGTCCTTTCAGTATAATAGAGCAACTAACTCAAATCAGCCTCAAGCACTACTGACTACAAATCAACCTCACATGCCACTTCTCATGCAACTCCACAGCATTGCAATGTCACTTTACAGTCACAAGGACAAGGCCTCTTACCTACTCCGTCAAATGTCCAGACCATAGAATGGTATCCAGATTCTGGTGCCTCTCATCATGTCACTGCCAACTCTCAAAACCTGATACAAAGCACGCAACTATCAGGTGCAGATCAGGTGTACATAGGAAACGGCCAAGGTTTGCAAGTGAATGCTATGGGTCATTCCTCTTTCTCTTCTCCACTCCAACCACACACCTTTCTTCACCTAAATAACTTGCTTCTTGTTCCCTCTATAACTAAAAATCTCATCAGTGTGAGTCAATTTGCTAGAGATAACAATGTATTTTTTGAATTTCACCCTTTCACTTGTTGTGTAAAATCTCAGGCATCTCATGAGGTGTTGTTGGAAGGTGCTTTGGGAACTGATGGACTGTACTGCTTTCAAGGAGTTAATCTTTCCTCCAACTCTAATCTGCCATCAAATCAACCATGTGCTCATGTTGCTCATCTCAATCCTGTCTCCAGTGGTTCAAAAATCTTGTCTACTAGTTATAGTAATTCAGTTTGTACTAGTCCTGTATCCACTGATGTACTCACACAAAACACAGCCAATAAAGCTAATAGCTCTACAAATTCAGTAGAATCAAACTTTATGTACTCTCTTTGGCATTGTAGGTTGGGACATCCTCATACTGAGGCCCTAAATTCTATTCTCAAGTCATGTAATATTCCAATTCCTAGTAAAACAGACATTACCTTTTGTTCTGCTTGTTGTTTGGGAAAAATACTAGATTACATTCCGGTCCATCAACCAAGATATATGAAAAACCTTTTGATCTTGTCTTTAGTGATTTATGGGGTCCAGCACTTGTCAAATCTACAATGGGTTTTACCTATTACATATCTTTTGTAGATGCTCACTCTAGATATACATGGGTTTATCCTCTTAAACAAAAATCAGAAGCATTGACTGTCTTTAATCAATTCCACGCCCTTGTATCCAATAATTTCCAATCAACCATTAAAGCTCTTCAAACTGATTGGGGTGGTGAGTTTACACCATTTCATCAACATCTTAAAAATTTGGGTATAGTTCACAGAATTGCATGTCCCCACACTCATCATCAGAATGGTGTTGTGGAAAGGAAACATCGTCATATAGTTGAGACTGGCCTTACCTTACTTGCTCATGCATCCTTACCCATGAAATTTTGGGATCATGCCTTTATTTCGGTTGTTTACCTCATCAATTCTCTACCTACTGCTGCCCTGAACTTTGAGGTTCCATTTATGAAATTACACAAAACAGTACCTGACTACAAATCACTCGAAGTCTTCGGATGTGCTTGCTTTCCTTTCCTAAGACCATACAACAACCACAAGCTAGATTTTAGGAGCAGTGAATGTATCTTCCTTGGTTATTCTCCCACACACAAAGGATATAAGTGCCTGAACTCATCCGGCCGATTATTTGTTTCTAAGGATATGAGTCCAAATTTCCCTATCCACTTTGGTTTGGTCCTTCTCCCATCACTGCCACCACACCTTCTCCTCCACCTGTACTCAACTTGATACCTTTAGTAACACCAAGTCAGTTTGATACTTCTGTGCAGCAGTGTTCATCTATTGGTTCATCTATCCCAAGGTCTCAAGCATCCAGCAGCAACACCTCCTCACCTATGCAGCAATGTTCACCTATTCCAAGGTCTCAAGAGTCCAGCAGCACCACCTCCACACCAACATGTACATCAGACCAACCAGTATACTCCTCCTCATGCTCGAGTCCTGTCTCATCTCTAGCAATGCAACACTCAAACAGCACCATCCCCACTCCTCAGTCAGCCTTGCCTTTGTCCTTAAGTCCAGGTTTTTCTCCTACCTCCATCTCTATTAGTCCTTCTTCTTCTTCTTCTTCTTCTTCTTCTTCTACTTCTGGTTCTGAATACATCCCTTCTAGACCTCTCACCAACTCACCTACTCACTCTATCACTACCCGGTCAAAGACTACCCACAACCCACAAATTTTTTCAACTTCCCTTGAACCTGTTACAATCAAACAAGCCTTGGCTAATCCTAACTGGCTATCTGCTATGCAATCTGAGATGAATGCACTACATGCTAACTCCACTTGGTCCTTGGTCCCTCTTCCTCCCAACCGAACAGCTATTGGTTGCAAATGGGTTTTTAGAGTTAAAGAAAACCCAGATGGCACTCTTAACAGATATAAAGCCAGGTTGGTAGCAAAGGGATTTCATCAGAAGGCTGGCTTTGATTACACAGAGACCTTCTCTCCAGTATGCTACACTCACTAGGCCTGAAATCAGCTACTCAGTCAACAAAGCCTGTCAGTTTATGGCTCAGCCTCTTGAAGACCATTGGGCTGCAGTCAAAAGAATACTATGTTACTTAAATGGAACCTTACATCATGCCATGCTGTTACAGCCATGCAATCCCAGTCACTTGTTCTCCATTACTGCCTTTTGTGATGCAGATTGGGCTAGTGACCCTGATGACAGAAGGTCTACTTCAGGTGCATGTGTCTTCTTTGGTTCTAACTTGGTATCCTGGTGGTCCAAGAAACAAAATCTGGTTGCTCGTTCTAGCACCGAAGCAGAATATCGCAGCCTTGCTCTAGCTACAGCAGAGGTTCTATGGCTCAAGTCCCTTCTCACTGAACTTCAAGTTCCATTTACTACTCCTCTCATACTTTGTGATAACCAGAGTACTGTCTCTCTTTCCCATAATCCTGTTCTTCATGCCCGAACTAAGCATATGGAATTGGACATCTTTTTTGTCAGAGAACGTGTTCTTTCCAAAGATATCAAGGTCTGCCACATTCCAGCTTTGGATCAAATTGCTGATACTCTTACCAAGGATCTTCCTGCCGTACGGTTTGCTGTGTTGAGGGACAAACTCATGGTGGTTGACTCATTTCACTATCTTCATCCACCCTGAGTTTGAGGGGGCCTATTAGAGTAGATAAAGGTGTACACCTATACAGCTGTACACAAAGGTCAATATTGTAATTAGCTAACCATTTCAGCTTTAGAAAACTGATTATTGTTGTAACTGAACTAGATGACGTGGCATAGTTGTTGAAGTCTATATAGACTATCGTGTAACACTTGTTCAATAAGAAAAATATTATTCATTCTCTCTCCTCTGTTTACTCTCTCTCTCTCTCTCTTCTCTCTAATTTCTTTGAAGAGGTGAGGCAAACGTGAATTGTATGGAGGAATTTCTTGTAACTTCCTAAACATGTGGCAGCAGGGGAGAGGAGTTAGTCAACTGTGAACTCAGTAAGAGAAAAAGTTTAAAAGCGGAGAAGGAGTGTTACGCATCCTCCATGCAACCTCTAGTACATTTTCATACTGGTTTTGGCTCTGGAGCTCCAATTTCTATGTCTCGGCATCCCCAACATCTTCAGTGCGGCTCACCTTTCAATTCCTGTGGGTTTCAGCCTATTTGTGGTGGTCACCATGGCAGTGGGGGCCACTCCATAGAGGTGGTTGTGGTGGCTATCGGAGCTTCTTCAACTTTGACAAACACGGACACGGTGCCAAAAAATGCTTACACCTGTTTGATCCCGCCTTCACTGCTGCTCAGGCTCAGGCTCCGACTCCTTTTCCTGCTCCTCATTTTCGTTTTCCAAGAGTTCCAGAAACCAGAATTGATTTTCTGGTAGAAGGAGCAAATTTCCAATTTTCTTATCAGTAAAACCAGATCCTATCAGAAAGCCAAACTAGTCCACGTGCAATCCAACCCAATAACTAAGTACACCTAAAAGATAAATGAGTTTAACCTTTCTTCCCAGTCCCCATTGTATATCTCCCAATTTTAAAGCGACTTGTGTTACTTTTAAAATTCCCACCTAACGAGTTCACTTGGGTTTGTTTTGTTTGGTGCGTGTGTTGTTGTTGTTGTTTTTTTTTAAGGGGGGGGGGCGGGGTTTACATAATTTTTTTCTGTTCTGCCTAGTACAAAAATCTGGCATCTAGATACCAGAGTAACTTCCAAAAACTAGTCAAATATATGTCAGATATTCATTTATAATAGATCACAGAAGGAAGACAAGTTTAAAGAACCACTTAAACCCACTGCAGCTGATGTTTCTTAAAAGTCAAACGCAAGTAACATACCACACCAAGAAGCTTTTTTATCTCAGCAAGTTGACCAGCAGACCTAACAGATAAAACGTCACATTCTTTTACCTGTTATTTACAAAAACAAAAACTTCTTCAGGACCTGTGATTTTATGCTGCCAAAATATACAGTTCATGAAAAAAAAAAATACACCAACCTTCCTGTCAAGAATACTAGAAATAGACTGCACATCTGCACGCAGAGAATGGATATCCGAAGCTGATTCTTTATACTTAGTTAGTTGACTTTGCATAGATCCCATTTCCTCAGGAAATGAAGAAACGAGAGATCTAAATTCTGCAATAATCTGTTTCCTTCCTGAAGGAAAAGTGAATGCATCACCAATAATAAACCACACAGCAATAAGATAGCATTCTTTATGAAAAAGGAGGGTGGGGGGGAATCCTAACCAGGTTCTCTTGCTTCCTCTTTCAGCTTATTTTCAATCACATTTCTTTCCTCTATTTTTTTCTGTATCTCAGTGCATATATCAGCCGCTCTAATATCTGAGACTGCCACAGATCTTTGAAAAATATCTGCTAAATCACTCTTAACATACCACTCCCTCTCCCTCCAAGCAAGATTATCCTTCTCAACCTACAAGTATATAACAAAAATAGGGGGGAAAGTCATCATCAGAAACACATCCTAGCAAATAAGACAACAATTAAAAGGCATAAATGAAACTACCGACCAGTTACAACCTGTAGTTTCTCGTATAAGGCCTGATACTCCAGAACTTCTGATTTTGACTTTTCTATCTGATCTCTAACCAATTGGAATGCATGGGAAGAAGTAATACACTTCAAATTCTTCAATGTGTTCTGATGCAATCATTCCAAATCAAAAACTATATAGAGAAAAATAATTTATATATATATATATATATGGACACACACACAAACACATGCATTGTAGAACATAAACACTAGTAAAAATACAGGAAAAGAGCGCGAATACTAAGGAAAATAAACCTGTAGATCACACAACTGCTGCAATATTCTTATTCTTTCCTCATGAAGACTTTTCAGTTCCACTAATCGAGATGAACCTTGGTCCTGATAGACTAAACAACTAAGGTAAAATATAATAGGAATTCTAAAATTAAATCAAAGAATCCAACAACAATACCAATAACTCCTTCAGAGTAGATTCCATATCTTGCAAATCCTTTTGCTTGTCTCTGATCTTATCACTAGTAACGTGTGTACTTCCAACATTTATGACTGGGAGAACTGCCCCATTTGCTGCATCTCTCTCTGCTTTAAGAGTTGCAAGTTTGTGATTGCTTTCTTCTAACTCGGCAATAGTGCTTTCTAGGTCTCCTAAATAATTGGATGACAAGACAAATAAATTGAATATCACATGCAAAACTAAAGCTTAAAATAGATGACTAGTAGAATCAGATCTATTTTTCTTTTCTCTTTTCCTCAGCGCTTTGGAGGGAAAGCAATGGAATAAATATGGAGCAAAAATGTGTACGTCAAAAACAATTAAATTATATACATTTCCGTTGTTTGCCAAAAAATAAGGCAAAAAACATGTATAAAGAGTCTTGAGAGATGAAGAGAACAAAGAACAGAAATGTAGACCAACCTCACAGAGGAAACTGCATAATTGAGGAGATACAAAAGCAATATATTACATTAATACCATAACATCAACACAAAATAAACCTTATGAAATGATAAGTACAAAACAGCCAAAATATATAGAGAATAATATAATAATAAAAAATATCAACAACTCAAGTCATGCCTATCCATACCAACATATTCGATGTTAAGTTGTAAACAAAGAGTGAATTGATATGCCTAGTCCATGCATCAAGAATCATGAACATTAAGGAACTCTTCCATTTCTCAAGAGAACAATTCAATTCTATTAACACCAACATCTTATGCTCCATTCCCAGTTCAATTCCAAAAGAATGTGAATTCCTACGGTTGGGATGGAGAAGAAACGGATCAATGGTTCCATTCAAACCCTAAATTCCGCAATTCTTTCCTAAAGTGGTGATAGTAGATTTACTTGTGCAGTTTTCTAATTTATCATCATTTACTTATATCTATGAGTCCATTCTGTCCTAATCCCAATGAAAAAATGGGAACAATTCATGGAAGAACCAAACACTATACTAGTAATGGTCAGGTTGGCCATCTCATCCACTTCTAAATGTATTGATTCCCAAACTCTTGCAAAAGTACCATTCGTCCCAACCTGTCAGCCATGCTGGCATTTTAGAACTCTTTGAAGGCTGGCCCAATCTGTTTTATGGTAGGTATGAAAAGAGCTTCCTATGTGGCAGAATGCCCGGTATGCTAGCACAGCAAGTATCAAGAAGCCACATCACCAGCAGGTCTGCTCCCACCTTTGCCCATTCCAAATGCTATCTGGAAGGAGCTCACTATGGACTTCATTTTGAGGTTGCAATAATTAGGGGACATGATGCAATCCTGGTTGTAGTGGATCAGTTGAGTGAGTATGGACATTTTATGATGGTTAAAAACTCAAATTCTGCCAGAAATATAGGTGGAATTTTTGTTAGAGAAGTGGTTAGGTTGCACAGTGTTTCTCTATCATTTGTCAGTGTTGTAAATAATATTGTATTTGTTTATTTATTTATTTCCATCCTAGAATCTTCTTTGGGCATAGCCCATTAGGTTATTTAGTCTCTTTAAATAGAGAGCAATAGTACAAATGTAATAAACAATTTTATCAATAATAATATCTCTTTTTTCAACTTGATATTAGAGCTCTCGATCTTGAGGGCTCTGCTTCCGCAACTACCACCTTTAGAGCGGAATCTTATTTGTTTGCCTCTCACCACCACTAACCGCTACTGGAAATTTTTCAGGGACCTTTTTGGACCAAAAGGACTATTGTTTGACTCCGTTTTTTTCCAGATCTATCAATTCACATACGTTTTCAAAAAAAAAATAAAAAATTTCATGCGTCACTGTTCATCTGCATTGTTCACACATACTGTTCACTGTTCATCGGGTACTGTTCACGCACACTGTTCACTAGGTACTGTTCATCAGGTACTGTTTACGCAAAAAAAAAAAAAAAAAAAAACTGTTGCAGGACAGAACTGCTCAGTTTTTGTCTCCTCTTTCCAGATTTGTGTTTTTTTTTATTCTTCGGTCAAACATCATTTAGATTTGCGTTTGTGTGATTTTCACCTCAATATTATGGCGGGTTCAAATGATGCATCTTCGGAATTTATTTCTAATCGCCAAGATGATTTCGAGCGGATTCAGACTATGCTTGACTCTCTGAGTAAGCCATCTAGTACTAGTACTTTGGCTATGAATGGTATGAGCTCCATTACTCATTCTTTTCTTACTTCTTGTACTGATTTTAACCATTCTTGGATTATCGATTATGGTGCTACTGATCATATGGCTTGTTGAGCTGACTCCTTTCTTTCTTATAACCCTACTATTGGCACCCATACAATAGTCGTAGCTGATGGCTCACATACATCAATTGCGGGCTCCGGTAACATATATTTACAGCCTTCCTTACATCTCCAAAATGTTCTTTATGTTCCCAAACTCTCCACTACTAATCTTTCTATCCATAAAATTACCAAAGATTTGAATTGCACTGTAACTTTCTTCCCTACTCACTGTGTTTTTCAAGATCTCACCAAGGGGAAGACGATTGGGGGTGCTAAAGAGCAAGGTGGGTTGTATTATCTGGTGCCAGAATCTTCTGCAAAGTATGCTAAAGATCACACCTTACTGACTCATTCTCAGTTTACTGGCGACTTTTTGATTTGGCTCCGTCATAAACGCTTGGGGCATCCTCCATTTCGTTTGCTCAAGTCTTTATTTCCAACATTATTTTTGACCAAGTCTGTTGAGTGTTTTCATTGTGATATTTGTGAGTTTGCAACACACCATCATGTCTCTTTTCCTTCTAGTACCATTAAAAGTGTTAAGCCTTTGATCTTATTCATTCTGATGTTTGGGGTCCTTCTAAAGTTCCTCATGCTTCTGGTAATAAATGGTTTGTTTCTTTTATTGATGATTGCACTCGTGTAACCTGAGTTTATTTAATGCATGAAAAATCTGAAGTACCACAGTTATTCTTTCGATTTTATAAAATGATTGAGACCCAATTTGGTAAAAGAATTAAAAGACTAAGGTCTGACAATGGTACCGAATATGTCAATTAGCGTCTTTCCAAATTCATCCAAGATCAGGGCATAATTCATGAACTTACTTGTGTGGACAGCCCTCAACAAAATGGAGTTGCTGAGAGAAAGAATCGTCATCTTCTTGAAGTTGCTCGTGCTTTACTTTTTCAGAATCATGTACCCAAGTGCTACTGGGGAGATATCATTCTTACTGCAGCTTTCTTAATCAATTGCTTACCCTCTCGGGTCCTTGACAATGTAAGTCCTATTCACTCAATGACTTCATTTTTTCCCTCTGTTCCCTCTATGCAGAGTCTTCAGCCACGAGTGTTTGAGTGTGTTGTCTTTGTCCACATTCATAAACATCTTCGCAATAAGTTGGATCCTAGGGCTCTCAAATGTACCTTCCTTGGTTATACCCCTGATAAGAAAGGCTACAAGTGTTATCATCCTGCTAGTCGAAAATTTTGTCTCAATGGATGTCACATTTCATGAATCTGAGTCCTTTTTCCCAAGTCCTCATCTTCAGGGGGAGAGCAGTTCTTCAATAAATTCACCACCTTCTATTTTTGAGTCTGGACCTTTCATGTCTTCAACACTTCTTCCTCCTGTTTCTGATTCTTTTGTATCTGACCCATCTGATACACCGGAAATACGAAGGATTGTGACACCTGAGTTGGTATATCACAGGATAAAGCAGCCCACACTGTTTCACCAACAACCTCAATCGTCTAAACCACTGATAAGTCCAGAACCTCTTGTTTCTGATCCTAATATTTCTCCTGTTTCTGAACCTAATATTATTGCCTCTAATGATTTGCTTGTTGCTTCTGATAGCTTACTCAGTACCTCCGATGACTTACCTATTGCCCTAAGAAAAAGGAAAAGATCTTGTACCCAACACCTATCTCTCATTTTGTCTCTTATACTAACCTTTCTGTGCAGCACAAAAGCTTTATTTCAGCACTAGATTCTATCTCAATCCCAAAATCAGTACATGAAGTATTAAAAGATGAGAATTGGGCTCGAGCCATGCAAGATAAAAAGAATGCCTTGGAGAAAAATAAAATATGGGAGGTTGTTGATAGACCTGATGGAACGAAAACAGTAGGGTACAGATGGATTTATGCCTTGAAATATAATTATGATGGTACTCTTGAGAGATATAAGACTCGATTAGTTGCCAAGAGTTACACTCAGACCTATGGCATTGATTATGAAGAAACTTTTGCCCCATTTGCAAAGATGAATATTGTGAGAGCTTTGTTGTCCCTTGCTGCCCATTACAACTGGGATATAAATCAATTTGATGTGAAGAGTGTTTTCCTTAATGGTGAGTTAGAAGAAGAAGTCTACATGGAAATCCCACCTGGCTTTGGCTCTATGGATGGAGGAAATAAAACTTACAGGTTAAAAAAGGCCTTGTATGATTGAAACAGTCTCCTCGTGCCTTGTAAGATGTGAAAGTCCTATGAAGCTGTTTTGTGATAATAAGTCCGCCATTTGTATAGCTCATAATCCAGTTCAACATGATCGGACTAAGCACATTGAGGTCGATCGCCATTTTATCAAAAAGAAGCTTGATAGAGGGTTGACCACCACTCCATACATTCTTTCTGGACGTCAATTAGCTGATATTCTGACAAAGGGACTTCCCTCAGAAAGGTTTCAAGAGCTTGCTAGCAAGCTGGGAATGTTAAATATCTATTCCTCAGCTTGAGGGGGAATATTGTAAATAATTGTATTTGCTTATTTATTTATTTCCATTCTAGAATCTTCTTTGGGCTTAGCCCATTAGGTTATTTAGTCTCTTTAAATAGAGAGCAATTGTACATATGTAATAAACAATTTTATCAATAAGATTATCTCTTTTTTCAACTGTAAGTGATAGAGACTGCACATTTATCAGTATTTTCTAGAAGTAGCAATTTAGGATGCAGGGGTCTACAATGAAGTTCAACACTGCCTGCCATCCGGAGACAGATGGGCAGACTAAAGTATCTTAATAGAACTTTTGAAACTCATCGACGCTGCATATGTATAATATGTGCAGTTTAAGCTAAAATACAATAAACCACTTGGTTTTGCAGTGTAAGGCTGCTGCTTTCCTTTGGAACAATCATTTTGGGGTTCTTGATCAGCACTAGGTGTGTCCTACTTTGCAGCAAATTTTGAGGATTCCCTATAAAGGTATTGATATAAACAAGGAGGCAACAATTTGTGGCAGTGCAGTCTTTTCAATCATTTGGTGCATTTGATTGGAGCACAAAGCTTGCATCTTTAAGGGTGCCACCTTGCCCCTAAACCTATATTAGAGTAGTTACTACTGTAACTGTAGTAACTACTCTAATCATCTGTTATGGTAGTGGGCTGTTTCTCAAGTGTTATCTCCAGTGTTCGGCTCAAGGCTGTTCCTGGGGGGCTGTTATTTCCATCAATAAAGACAGAATGACAGATGCATTGTTAGGTTAAGGTTTCTTTTTCTTTCTTTGTGTTGGTATTAGCTTTTTTCTATTCAAATAATATCTTATCATCCCCCTAGTTGTATTCTTCTTCCTTTCTTTGTGTTGGTTTTTTTTTTTTCACAACAAAAAAAATTTAGGAAAATAACAAAACTCGGGTATGCACACAGACAAACATAGGCATTTCCATACTTTACAGGCATTGGAATTTCTATAAAGCTTCAACATATTTTAATTTTGTACTTGAAACAAGGAACTTAAAGATTTCACAGTATATCTTACAATATTAAAATGCTTAAGAACACGGTAGAGAAAATTTACCTCTTAATCTTTTAAGGTCAGCTTTATTTTTGGCATCAAGATCTCTCTGAATTTGGAAATCACTTGCTAAAGATTTGTGTTTTAAATGAAGTTCACTGAGTGCCAATCTCAGGTTTTTAACTTCCACCTCTAGATCAATGGACAACTTCGGCCTACATGAAACTATAAACAGGCAGTGTAACCAAGAATGCTGAGTGACTGGTCTGAGAGAATAACCCCAACATTTGATAATCATAGACAACAAGTACTCATATCTTACCATCATCAGGAAGCTTTTTCAGTACTGCAGTATGCAATGCATCCTTCAGACACCAAAAGTCATTAATAGCAGTCACTATATTTTTTAAAACGCATTTAGCTTTTTCGGTAGTATTTTCTCTATGTTGTTCCATCTGGTTTGCAAAGTTACAAGTGGAAGAACTTTCAGTAGCACCAGTTTGCAAAAGTCGGCTGAGAAAAACATCCTGAACAGTTGATGAACTACCATCTGGCAAACAGATCAAAGGATCCTCATTAGCTAATACACTTCCCAAACAAACAGACATTTAATAAAGTTTCCTATGAAATATCAAAACATCAAGTAATTGAAAAATAGATTCAGTAGTCCCCAGAAACGCAGGTGGCAAAACACAACACATTGAAAACAATTCAAACTTCAAGAAGCACATTGAAGAAAACTAGAGACATTACTGCTGGGTTAAGTGACAAATACATTAAAAACCAGAAGCAGGAAAATTCCAAATATCATTCCCTGACCTTAGTATCAAAGAAGAATTCCAAACTGATTGAGTAAGCATGTTTAGAATAAGAAGCAAATATGCAATATTTTCTGCTACATATAAAACTAATTTAAAATGATGATACTATACTTGGATTGAGAAAAAGAAAATATAAACGAAGGATAATTTAAAGTACAAACCCCAGTGCATAAAGCTCTCCGACTTGTGAGGGTAGGGATGAAGGTCGATTGTACGCAGCCTTACCTTTGCATTTTTTGCAAAGAGGCTAGTTCCCAAACCCAAAGCTATGACCTTACAGTCACAAGGAACACCCTTACTGCTGCTCTAAAGCTCGTCCTCAAATGAAGGAAAATTTTAAAAATTAAAAACTTCCCCTCATTTTGAATGAAGGGAAATGTTAATAGTTTTCTTCTGTTCAACTTATCAAAACAGTAAACGAGAAGTAGCAACAGGGTTCTCCCTTCGAGAATAAAATAACTCTTAAAGCTCATACGCATAACCTCAAGAAAGTTTATCACTTTGTCTTCACATCTTCATTTATAATAAACATGCATAAAAACCAAAAAATATACAATGTCATAGGATGGAATACAGTTACTTGTGCACCTTTTCATTACTAACACTACTGAATGTTAAGGTTTGCCCAAAATACTCACTGTAAAGAGAATAAATTTGCTAACCAGGGGTCATCCTAGTATCTACATCAATAAATATGTGAACCAGGACTCTCATTAATATGTAATCACATTGCTGATCATAAATGTCAGAATAATCAAGTAAATCAGGCTCTAGCATATTTAAGAATAAGGCCCAAAAGCTCCTTAAATTTCGATAACAACACTAATAAGTTATAAATATTTCAATCAGAAACAATAACACACTGGCTAAATGATTTCCAGTATTTAGAAAGAAAATAAGTTAGTGACAAGCTCATTGTACGTAGAAAATAACTACCAATTTCAAGAAATCAAGACACTGTAAGGAAAGACAACTTTCCTTCCAACAGCCCAGTTGGTTTCCAGCCTTCACTCACTTTTGGCTCCCACCCTTCTTCCTTCCTTTGGCAGGACCACCCACTAGCTAATTAGTTTCATAGCCAGTAAACAACCAACTAAAAGTACAAACCTAATAACTTAAGAGACGAATGGATGCCTGCCATACAAATGTTTAGTATGAAGGAATGGAATGCTATTTCAGATTTAATCATGTAATCAAAGGACTCCGATGTTTGATTGCAAAGATCTATATAATAATCTTCATGATATTAATATATATATATATATATGTTTGTGTGTGTGCACGTATGTCTTCGCGCGCGGGTGCATACAGTGTAAGGATTATTGTAAAAAAAGGACATGATTTTCTCTTGATAATTTCCTTTTATTACTTTTATTTTTTTTATGATATTATTTTTTTTTATGATATTGGTGTTCTGATTCCTAATCAAGAATACACCAAAATCAGGCACAAAGAACCAACCAGACTGGCAAGTGGATAAAGCAGAAATACAGAAATAAAAATAGCGAGTAATGCAATCGCATAAGGCCACTCTCTCTCTCTCTCTCTCTCTCTCTCTCTCTCTCTCTCTCTCTCTCTCTCTGTGTGTGTCTCTTCCTATTCTGAAATCTCATTCCTCCAAACAATATTGAATTGAGATTCTATTTATTTTTCCTAATATGCCATTCTAAATTAATAAAATGACACAAATTACCCTTCTATAATCTTGAATACTGTTATAAAATATTAACGTTTATATTATAAATATTAAGATATGGAAGAAAAATTGTCAAGCTTTAAATTTCTCTAATTAAGAGCATTTATGTCATTTACATCAAATGGATTCCATTCCATATTGTATGCCATTCACCTAACTACGAATTGCTTTCCAAGTCATTTTATTTCTAATACTACCAAACTGAGAAATCAGAATAGGATTCTCATTCCAGTTTATTAACTCCGATTCTTACTCAAAGGAAATGCATTCTTTGCACCAATGTGACCTTAAAACTTAAGATAAGCATAGGATTTAAGAATTGACAACCTAGGGTAAGTTTCATAATTATCAATTGCGGGTAGCGGCCAACCCTAAAAATGCTATAGCGGTAAAGCAGGTAGTAATATAGCCGCTACAATGAAGTTCAATTATGTGATATAAAAATTTAAAATACATAATTATTCATTTCAAATAATAATACATTAATTATTAATTTAACATTCACAAAAATTAGCAGAGAGAGAAATCAAAACAGATTAATCATATTAATATTAAAATATAAATAATACACATTGGACTATTGGAGAAGGAAATAGATGCAGATGGTTTTTGGGCTTGACTTGCAACAAAATGAATGAGAGAGACAGATGGAACCATTCCTTCTTCACAGAAACATAGAAAGAGAGAATGAAGGAATCTGCCATAGATCAAAACAGAATCAGTGAGATGTCAAGATTGTGCCGGAGTTAGAGAGATTATGCTGCTGTAGGCTTGCCAGAAAATGGGTGAGAAAGAGGGTTCAAAATCGGAAAATGAGTGAAAAATAGAGATGAAACAGAGCCACCGTTGCAGATGGAGATTTGAACTAAATAGATTGTAAGGGAGATAGGGTTCGAATATATAAAAGGATAAAAATCCAGTGTACCATTAAAATTAAATTCTTAGTCAATAATACCCTTAACATTAAAAAATCTCTCTCCCTCCCTTGTAGTGTGGAAATTGCTCCACAACAGCTGCAAAACGCTACTTCAAATTGCGGTCGCTACAACCGCCACTGTAAATTGTAGCATCGCTTGCTGTTTTTTGCAGCTGAGTGCCGCTACCCGCTATTGATGCTGTATAGCGCCGCGTTTTTCATTTATGGTAAGTTTTATAGGATAGAATAAAGACAATAAATCAAGAAACTTAGCTGAGAGGTTACGACAAGAGTAGGTTGCAATGCAAGCAGCAGTGACATGAAAGACTGAATTGATGACCAGACGTGTGATGTAAATAGTCCTGTAAAATCTGATTTCTTGGTATGTGTTATATGGTACATCCAAGATAGATTAAGGAATCTAGCAAATGAAAAGGAAACAGATTGGGCCTTGCAAATAAGTTGAAGGAAAAAATTAGTAGTCATAGAAAGAAGAATTAAACCTAGGCATAGGTCTGTGTTTTAGCACAGTTAAGACATTTCTTGGTGGATAAATTAAATACCATGATCACTCATCCAAATTTATCCTAGAAAGGCCATGACTAGAGCTCTAATACTAAAAGGAATTAGGCTCCCCACTAGTACCAAAACCAAACCAAGGATGATACAGTAACACCAAAGAAGAAACATTGAAACATAAAACAATGACCTGATAAGACCTAAATAGCAGAAAATAAGGACAGCAAAAATTTCTTAAAATGAAAATGAAGCATCCTGGCCTCCAAAACATTAAAAAACCTAAGTTATTGACCCCATTAAGGTTTTAACAGGATCTCTACTATAAGACATGCAAACAATTGAGAGCTAGAATTAGATTTAGCGCAGCTATAATAGCGTTGTCATTGGATTAGCTTGATTTGCTCCTAGAAAAACTTTTTTTCAAAATGCTAAGAACGAACTTTTGGCTGAAATTGAGTGCAAAAAATTCTAATCCAAACATGAACTAGGTCTTTAAATGCTCTTACAAGAATGGTCAAAAAGTGGTTGGTTTTCTGGGAAGTTAGCATCGGATCTATCATCCATCACTCTAGTGGACTTTTGATGCTTAAACAAAACTAATGCATGCATAAGAGATCCATGTTGCCTATCTATCGACAAAAATTCACATCAATAAGGCACACAAAAAATACTTGTTGGTCATACTTATGAAGGACCACAATTAAGACCCCAAAAGAGAAGTATACAACTAATGTTTGCACTAATAATCTACACCCAACACAGAAAGTAATGTCTTCTGTAAAATGATCCAGCCCTTCATGAAATGGTTACTTTTATATAATATACAAAGAATGAACTTACTAGAAGCTAATGTCCCTCAAATTGTATAAACTGACAGCTTTGAATTTAATTTTTCAACCCTTTCTACCAAAAAGAGAAATTAAGGCTTAGATGATAATGGAACAGGAAAAAAATACGGAATGAAAAAAATGCAATTAAAGAAGAATTAAATCACAATCTTGCAACAAGATAACGAAAAGAATTTAATGGCCATGAGCAAATGATCCTCACCTTCCATCATTGATGCAAATCTTGAAACCGATTTGCTGCTGGACTCTCTCGTGTGTTCAGAACATGACTCCAAATCATTAACCATCTAGGCACAGAAGATGGAAAATACCCAGAATGTCATTGTGATATGAATAATTAAATAAAATGATTAAATCATCATATAATCTTACTGAAGGAAGAAAAAATTAAATGGGAACCAAATTACCTCCTCCCAAGAGTTCTTGACCACTGCTATAGTGGAACCATATGACTGTTGCCTCTCCTTCAGTTGAGAAAATTTATTCTCAAGTGCTGCATACTCTAACTTCTGAGTTTCTAATTTCTGTGTAAGCTTTTGATTTTGATACTGAAGTACAGCAATATCAAGCTGCAAGATAAGAAGAGAATGCATAAGTTTAATTAGTAACAGTAACACTGCTTCTTTGCTCACTTCTTCCCATATGCTGGATCAGTAAATATGATCTACTACATACACAACCTACATGGCCATTCGAATGAAGTCCCACCATGAGGCAACATGGGGTAATAATCTTTTTCGGGATTTGGATCATTATAGGTAAGCATTAATTTATGAAGAAACGAATCTAAATCAGCATTTGCCTGCATAGAAATAACTTTCTCTATTCATAATTACTCAGCAGTGTGCATTGCTGATAATCAAGGAATCAAATGAATTAAGAAAGTTAAAGAATTTGCAGTGTTTAGAATAGTGTAAGTACTACCTCCCAAATTAAGAGTAACAGATAAATCTTCACTTCCAGTACAACAATATCATTATCATCCTCAACCCAAAGTTAGTTAGAAAAGGGATTGGTAGGAGCAAAAGGAAAGGCAGTCATTAAAAATATATATTATAGCCCAAGAAACCAGAAGCCAGATAAAGTACATTGCAACTGATTAGAGCAATACATTAGCGATGTACATAGTACAGTTATATTATTAATCCAAAAACAATCAAGCACACAAAAAGTTCAAAAAAAAAAAAAGATGCATGGAGTTATGTAAAGAACCACTTCAACCCAAAACCTTAAGGTGTTGGGTGAGAGCCTTTTTAATGGTTTATATTATTCTCTAACACACCCCCTCACGCAAGAGGTATTTGGACTTGAAGCGTGGATATTGCATAGACCCAATTTTTTGGTTTACCTTGTGCTTATTTAATTCTACTAGAAAGTAGGGGAGGTGAGAATCAAACTCATGACCTTGTAGTCACCGAAACTCTGATATCATGTAAAGAACCACTTCAATCCAAAACCTTAAGGTGTTTGGTGAGGGCCTTTTTAATGGTTTATATTATTCTCTAACATTTCCACGCTTCAAGCCCAAAGGGCTCTTGCGTGAGGGGGTGTGTCAGAGAATAATATAAACCATTAAAAAGGCCCTCACTCGACACCTTAAGATTTTGGGTTGAATTGGTTCTTTACATGGTATCAGAGCTTCCGTGACCATAATGTCACAAGTTCGATCCCCATCACCCCCACTTGTGGAATTAAATAAACATAAGGTAAACCAACAAAAAAAAATTGGGCCCATGCAATATCCACGCTTCGAACCCAAAGGACTCTTGCGTGAGGGGATGTGTTAGAGAATAATATAAACCATTAAAAAGACCATCATCCAACACCTTAAGATTTTGAGTTGAAGTGATTCTTTACAAGTTATAACTAATGCACTTGCACCAACAAACTAGCATACCATCCACTATACAAAATACACAAAACAGTAAAAGAAACCTATTAATATAGGTCAACTAAGCAAATTATAGAGGGTGTTTGGTAAATTTATAACGAGGTTTAGATCAACAGCAACACCAACCAAGCCTTACCCCACTAGGTGGGATCAGGTACATAGATCAATAGACGACATTGGTCCTAACAGATCAGAGGTCCAGACCAATTCAAATTAACCCTTTACCTTTCGGTATTATATAATTTCAATCAAAGCATGAAACTAATTTGGCCCAGTTTCACAATAAAATTGATTAAAAAACCTTTGAGTTCATCAAAGAATTAACAAATAGCTATCTTGTTAAAGTAATAAAAAAGAGCAGCAAAAAAAAAATCAGAATAAGATTTCACTCATACAAATACCATTATTCGTAATACTATGTCTAGCCACTACAAATCAAGCAACAAACAAGAACTAAAACATGAAGGGCAAGAGTTAACCCCATCTAAATTTTTGAATTAAACATTTGAAACACAAGCTTCAGAAACAAAAAATTAAAAAAATAATGAAATAAAAAAAAAGGCGGTACCTTTTTGTCTTCAGAAATGGGTAAGAAGGGTAGCTTCTTGGCAGTAGCAGTAGCAGGGGTAGGGGACAAGGAGCTAAAGTGACGCCGTTTTCTGTCCGACTCACCCATACTCCCCATTGAAACCAGACACAAAAAACAAACCCTAGAAAGCACCCAGTCCACTCACATCACAAAGATTCAAAATACGATGGTTGAAAAGTCATAAGGTGCCCCAATTATCCCTAAACACAATCAGGAACTCAAAATCTAAAACAAACCCCGACTAACCAATCCCTCAAAACCCTAATTCAAACCCCACCAGTGAACCCAAAACATTGAAAATTATAAAGGAAAACAAAAACAGAAACAAGAAAAAAAGAGTTTTCTTCTCTTTATTTATCGACTTCGAGACCTAGTTGTGAAGGAGAAAACATAGGGTTTCAATCTCTGTGTGTGCCTCTCTCTCTCTCTCTCTCTCTCTCTCTCTAGAAGTTCTATTCTGTGCATAGCTATTCTGTCTCGCTCTTCTCCGAAAAGAAACACGAAGAGGAAGAGAAAAAGAATAATATTTAAAAGGTATTTGTGTTTTTATGGGAAGAAAAGATTACATTGTAATTTCGGGAAGGTGTGGAGGGTAATTTAATATTTGGATTCACGCGAATGAGGGGGTGCATGCGTATGCGTGCATAAACGTGACGGAGGTGTGCTACTTGTGAGGATTTATCATGAATATTTCAGTTTTTCTGTTTAAATTATAATAATATTAAGTTTCTATATTTTGTAAAGGATCTGCATTTTTGTAATGTTAGATTTTTCAAAGATCTCAGCATAAATATTTACTTTATTAGGTCTGTTCTTATCTATTCTATTTAATATCTTTACTTTATTGTATATTAAAATATTGTAGTAAAATTTACCAAAAAAAAAAATCTTCAAATAATATATATCAATTTATTTCCTCAATACAAATTTACAAAAAACTTAAAAAAAAATATATACATATCACATTGTTATCACAAAATAAAACCAAAAACAATTAAGTAACTTTACCAAAATTTTAGATTGTCTAATAACATATACATTTTTAAAAAAATCTTAAATGATTTATGTAGTTTGAATTTTTCTTTTGTGAAATACAATTATAATACATGTAAAAGTTATGTTCAGCTCATTTTGATTTATTTTTATTTTATTTTTTTGGCTTTGTTGTTGGTTACGTGATTGAGTTTTGAAATGATGGGGAATATTCTTTTAAGAGAAAGTTTTAACTGAATTCGTATTAAAACATAAGTTAAAATGTTTTATTTATTTTGTATGTGAATTTCTGTTTGCATATTCTCTTTTTATAATAACTATTTTTTTTTTCTATTTTTTTCATGGGTTCTTATTTCATTCCGTAATTTAGGAAGGTTCAGAGGGTAGTTTCAAAATTGGACTCACGTGTACTGAAAATGTATTTGCATATATGAATGAACGTGATCAAGGTGGGCTATTTGGGAGGATTAACCATGAATATTTTATTTCATTTTTAAAATTATAATAATAGTAATATTAACTGAACTTCTAAATTTTGAATAGGACCAGCATTTTGTATATAATTTTGAAAAGATTTAATCATAAATATTTACTTAATTAGTTTTGTTTTCCTCTATTAAATTTGATTCTATTTACCGTGATGAACGTGGTGGGGATGTGCTGCTTGTGAGGATTAATCATTAATATTTTATTATTCCTTTTAAAATAATAATAATAAATATTAACTAAGTTTCTGAATTTTCTAAAGAAGCAGCATTTTTGTGCGTGTACTTAGATTTTGGAAAGATTTATTTGTAAATGTTTAATTGATTGGCTCAGTTTTTTACTTATTATATTTGAGTATATTCTATTCCATTTAACTCTATTTATTTCATAGTATATCAAAATATTATCATAATTTTCTCAAACAATATATTATTTTAAAAAAATTCAATCATAAAATTTTAACTAAATAAAAAAACTTAGAAAATCATACACATTTCACATTTTTATTAAAAAATTAACACCATAAAAACATCACCAATTTTTTCAAAATTTTCTATAGTCGTCCTCTTAACTAATCCTTTAAATTCTCTATAAAGATTGAATTTTCGCTTTATAAGGTACAGCTGTAATTTTTTTTTTAAAATTACTCCTATGTTTTTCTTTTGATTTCATTTATGGACATATAATTAAGTTTTAGAAGGGTTATTAGGGAGGGTGAAGAAGCAAAAATCCGAAAACTTCGGACACCGGTTATATTTATCAAAAAAATAAAAACAAAAATATTGATTAATTCTTATAAGTCACAGGAGATATTAGAAAGGATTTTTTACATGTATTACTGTTTAGTTATCATTTTTTTTTTTACAATTATTATTTTTATTTTCTGTATTGTGTTCTTGTTTTATTTGTGTGATTTCAAGAAGATCTGGAAATACTTTCATAGTTGAATTCATGCATATGAGAGGGATGTATAGCGTGTATAAACATGTTGAAGGGGGATAATTTCGGCTGTTCATGAATATTCTACAATTATTTTCAAATAATAATAATGAATATTAACTAAGTTTCTAAATTTTGAAAAATAGTAACATTATTTATATTTAAGTATTGAATGATTTAATGTTAAATATTTACTTGCTTAATTGTATTCTAACATATTAAATTTGATTATATTTACTTCAAGGGAAAATGTTTGTCAGTTTGACACACAATTTTGTGTTATTTCAAGTGAAATGATTGTATTTTTGTGCATAGTTATTAGTTTTTTTTATATTCTCTCACTTCCATAATATTGTCTCTTTCTTTCTTATTCTAATTTTGTAGAGGAGAAAAAATATAAAAAATGAATAAATATATACTAAAACACGATCATTTCACTTAAAATTACACAAAGTTATGTTTTTTGAAATGATAAATATATTTCCCTTATTTAATAGTATGTCATAGTTTTTCTCATAATAAAGTGCTACTTTTTTATTCATAAGTTATAAAACTTATAAAAAAATAAATAATAAACACATGTCATATTTTTATTGAAAAATAGAAAAAATATAAACATTTAAAGAATTTTACCAAAAATTTAAATGATCTCGTATCTCAAATTCTGAAATTCTTGAAATTATATAGTTAGTTTGAATATTTTTTAATAAAATACACTAGTAATTCATGTAAAAGTTATATATATTTAGCTCTTTCATTTAGTTTCTTTTAGAAAGAAGACGAACTGAAGCAGTGGTAAAATTGTTCCTTCATGACTGAAAGGTCATGGGTTCTGATCCAGAAACAGCATCTTTGCAATTATGCAAGGGTAAGGTTGCGTACAAAGATTTCCTCAACCCCACACTCGCTATTCGGGTTTAATAGGGAGTGTTTTTTTTTTTTTTAATTAAGAGAACGCATTAACTACTTCAAGTGTGAATGTATCTAGTAAAGTTAAATGTTAGGCTGTGTGATGAAGGTTGTTGTAACGCCCCGTGTATACCTGATTTGTTAATATCAGAATGGTATTAAGCGCAACTAATTATATTAAATATATGCGAAAGCTAAACATATTAATCTCTAATTAAACTCATGTAAAAATGTGAATAAACTTTTTTTCATTCTTCTTTAAGTTATAATCATTACTTGTATGTCAAGTTAATTGCATGTTGTAACACCCCGTGTATACCCGGTTTGTTAACATGTCATCGTATTAAGCCACGCTTAATTACATATGGGGAATATCTTTTTCTGTTCAATTATGACGTCATTAATCTTAGCCAAGTTGATTACTTAATCAATTTCATAAAAATATTGACTGTATGTAATTGCAAAGGATAACTAACTGAAATACCTCATAAAATAATAGTGAGTATTTAAAGTCACGGATCTACAACACATAGTCCGGACATAATCCTGATACATTATTACAACTCTAATCCAAACTAAAACATAGACAAGTCAATGTGGCATGGACAAACCCCATACTCATCAAATAGACAACATAACAACAGAGTCTCAACAATGTAATCCATAACTGAAGCTAAAATCACAAAGCAGTAAACAGGATCCAGCATCCATGCATAACAGCAAATCAGCATAAGCAGCATAAATAGGTATCAACTGTTAGAATATTAGATATGATATGATTAGATTTGATTAGATATGATTGGATTCTGTCTTATCCGTAAATAGTCTGATTGTATTAGGATTAGGTTTGGATTAGGTTTGGGCCTTACACTTAAGCCCATTAGGGTCTCTATATATTGTAACTCATTGACACAGATCAATACACAATGTATTCTTTTACATTTGACTTGGTATCAGAGCTCTTTCGTTCTAAGAACCCTCGCTTTCGCTCAGAAACGTTGTTTTTTGCTTTAAAAACCTAAGCCCACTGCTTAGGAGTCCTCTTTCTTGTCGTGCGTCCTTCCGGCAAGCCTTCTAGGGCTGTAAACAGCCTCTGAGTGATTTTTCCAAACGCGTCAGCACCTCCGACGGCCACCGGAACCACCGCCCGCCGTCAGAATCACTGTTCAGGCAACCGGAGACTTTTTCCGGCGACTTTTCCGACCAAACTTCACGCGATCAGGACCCTTTCTTCCCGGCGACCAGGTCTGTGGTGGTCCGGTCAGCAACGCATCTCCCACGCGTCGTCACGCGCCACCTGTCTTCACTGCGCGTGGGCTTCACGCGCCACCTTCTGCCGGCGCGTGAGCACTATTCCGGCGGCTTTTTCCGGCCGGTCTTGGACAGAGAAGCTCGCCTTCTCCTCCCCTTTCTGGATCTGTGATTGTTTCTCTGTGGGTCTGACCTTAGACGCGTGGTTCTTCTTGATTGGATATCGTTTGTCTTCGTTTACGGCTTTTATATTTTATCTTTAAATGGCAGCAGCATCTCCTGATCTCTCGGAGGTTAACTCTCCTTCTATTGTTGCAAATATAGCTCAGCCAGACAAAGCATCATTTGGTTCAGGTTCGGACTGTGCTGCACTCCAAACCCCTCTCAGGAAGGCTTCTCCTCAGTCTCAGCCTTATACTGGTAATCCCGTTGCTTGTGTTTCTCATTCTACATCACTTGGCACTTGGATATTTGACTCCGGTGCTACCGATCATCTCTGTGGTAATATGGAACTCTTTACATCTCTTACTTATTCTGATCATTTACCGTCTTTTACCCTTGCGGATGGATCCAAAGCCCCAGTTTGTGGGATTGGACAAGCTCTTCCGACCTTTACCTTGGCCCTGACATCTGTCTATTACATTCCTGGCATCCCTTATAACTTAATTTCTATTAGTAAGTTGATCCACTCCCTCACTTGCACCATTACTTTCTCTAACCATTCTATTTCTGTGCAGGATCCGGGTACGGGGAAAATGATTGGAGTGGGTCGTGAGTCACGGGGGCTTTATTATCTGGATGTGCCTCGTCCTTCAGTAGCATGCTCTCTCACAGAATCTCCACAACTTATCCACAGTCGCCTTGGTCATCCAAGTCTTTCAAAGTTGCAGAAAATGGTTCCTCTTTTGT